CAGCCCCTCTTCCTGCTGACACCTGTGCGGAGCAGCCGCCTTCCCATGCAGTGGCAGGAGGAAGGTCAGCAAAACGACTTTGAAGATGCTTCCTTTCCCTTCCAGATGCAATTCCCCTTCCTTCACCCCGAGCAGAACTCTGGCACCAGCCCCTCCTCGCAGGGAGGGGACAGCAGGACTTGGCAAGGCCCGTGCCCTTGGGCCATGTCTCACCTGGAGTCTCCAGGCTCTGCTCTGCAGAAGAGACCCCCCCGCTGCTGAGCCCCCAGAGCTGGGGGGCCCCTGGGGCTCCAGCACTCAGACCTCAGGGTGCTGGTGTGTTGTTTTCTTGTTGCTACTGAGACAAATCACCACAAATTCATTGCACAAAACACCACATTTATTCTCCTGCTCAGTTCTAGGGGTTGGAAGTCCAGAAACAGTCTCCTGGGGCCAAAATCAGGGTCAGCAGGACTGGTTCCCTCTGCAGGCTCCAGGGGAGGTCCATTTCCCTGCCGTTTCCAGCTTCCAGAGGTTTCCCAAATTCCTTGGCTCAGGGCCACTTCCTTTATTATATCTCCAACCTCTGCTTCTGTTATCACAGCACCTCCTCCTCTGACCTCTGACCTCTCCTACGTTCCTACTTTAAGGACATTTTGGTCACACTTAGGGCCGCCCGGATCACCCAGGGTACTCGCCCCATCTCAAGATCATTAACTCATTCTCATTTGCAAAGTCCCATTTGCCGTGCAGTTAGTCTGAGGAGACCTTTGGGGACCATTGTTCAGCTGAGCATACCGGGTTTCTCTGTCCCTGAGCTATCACCCATTTCTCACAGGAGGACTTGGGCCCCTCCTGGTTAACTGGCACAGATGGAGCCACCTTTAAAAGTCCACGGCTCCTGTCATCTGAAGACCTTGAGGCTTTGCCCCTTCAGCATCGGGGTCACTCCACCCAGCATTTTATTAAGCTGCCTTCTCTGGGCCAGGCCGGGGCAGAAAGCTGCAGGGGGAAAGAGGGCCTTGGGCTCAGGGACAGGGGGTCAGTCACCATCCCTACCCTCTTAGAGCTGCGGTTCTCCAAGCACGTTAGCATCTCCTGGGAGCTTCACAGAAATCCAAAACCCGGCGGCACTAGGCCAAGTTCGTCTGCAGCCCTGAGCGTGGGTCGGCACTGGCAGTTGGGAGAGTCCCTTGGGTATTCTCATGTGGCCAAGGTTCAGAACGCTGTTCCAGAAGCTCAGAATCAAGCAGACGGAAAAACACATCAATGCCAGAAATGGAATTGACGTGTCCTTGTTTCAACAACAGCTAACGCACACTGCTCACTTCTGGGCCGTGAACGTGTTCTCCCTGCACCTCCTCCTAACAGCGTCTCAGGGTGGCAGCTCTGCCCACCCCATTTACAGGTGACTCCAGGGAGCCCAGGTCACGGTCAGTGTGTGCCGAGGTCACCCTTCAGTCCCAGGCACTCTGGCTCCTGAGACCTGCCCTCATCTGTCTTCCAGAACTTTTTGTCACTTCTTGGGAAACAAGCTGAGGTCACTTTCTCCTGGAATTCCTAACCTGTCTTGTGACCCACACTCTGTGGAGGAGGAAAGGAGGGACCACAGGATGACCCCTGGTGACAGTTGCTCACCTGGAAGGATGACGCAGGAGACAGGAGCTGGCTTCCGAGTGTAGTGCTGGGCTAAGCCCCCACCTGCCCCATCCCCAGGGCCACCCGTGTGCCACCTCACTGCCTTCCTGTGTACCAGAGCGCCCGCCACCCACACAGATGGGGCCCCGCAGGGCGCCTCTCTGCTGCTAGGAAAAGGTCACCAGGCCCTGGGATGTTGGCAGAGAGAGCATATCAAAGCCCCTCGGAATTAAGAGGTTTTCCCATTGAGTGGAGTTTCACAGCCCAGTGGCCAATTTCTAAGTCATGCGTGTTAATGGGTGGCTAATGAGAGGCCCAGGCGGGGGTAGAGAGGTGCCAGGAGCTGAGAGGAAGGAGTACAAAGCCGCAGCTGATTCCTGCTCCCTGCCTTAGGGGCGGCTGTGGGAGAGAAAGCAGATGGTGGGGCTGCACTGATGGTACTGAGAGCCTACACCTAGCCAGCTGCTGCTCAGGCTCCACCTGCCTGCCACCCCTCCCTCCTCACTGTAAGAAAATCCTTTCCCAGGGGCCCTGACCTGGGTCTCCACCAAGGGGACCCTAACACCGGAACACCTCAACCTTCCTGGGAACACTGGCTTATCCTGTGGGCTGAGCCTTTGAACAGAGACTTGCCACTCCCCTGAATGTCACCCCCAGCCACCTTTCCCCAAAGGTGCATAGAGGTCTCAGCTCCCCGCACCTCCTCCAGGAAGCTCCTCCAGATTTCCCTCCCTCCTGAGTCTCAGGGTCTACTCCTCTCCCATTGGACCACAGTTATTTGTCTGTCCCCCCTCCAGAGTAGAGACTTTATCTTTCACCTCTGAATCCCCAAGGCCTAACATGCAGTAGGTGATCAATCAATCCGTGTTTGTTGAATGACTGATTGAGTGATTGTGACCACAGTCAGACCCCAGAGATACTGTGCTGAACGTGGCCCCTAAAAGATAAGCCCATGGCCCAGAGCCGATAAATGCAATCTTATTTAGGAAAAGGGGCTTTGCAGGTGTCATTAAGGATGTTGAGATGAGATCTTCCTGGAACATCCGAGGGGCCTAAATCTAACGACCACTGTCTGTATAAGAAAAGGAGAGGGCACAGACACAGGGAGAAGGCCACGTGAGGGCAGAGGCAGAGATTGGAGTGATGTGGCCACTAGCTAAGAGACGCCTGGAGGCACTGGAAGCAGGAGGAGGCAGGGAGGCCCCTCCCCTAGAGCCTTCGGAGGCAGCACAGCCCCGCCCACACATTGACGGCAGACTTCTAACCTCCAGACCTGGGAGAACAAATTTCTGGGTTTTAAAACATTTTACATTTATTTTGAGAGAGAGAAAGAGAGACTGGTTTGTTGTTCTACATATTTATTCATTCATTAGTTGATTCTTGTATGTGCCCTGACCAGGGATAGAACCTGCAACCTTGGCAATATCAGGATGATGCTCTAACCAACTGGGCTCCTCAGCCAGGGCTGAACTTCCGTTGTTCTAAGCCCCGTGCTATTTGTGACAGCAGACTCAGGAGGTTGACACATGGGGGAAACCATGCGACTCTCTCATTTCTCTCTTCCCCGGAGTCTGTGTATTCATCCCACCATCCATCCATTCATTCATTCATTCACTCATTCCCTCATTCATTCAGTGCTCCCTATCCCGAGCACTCACAGAGTCAGGGCAGGGGGAGGGAGACAACGTGACTTTGCAGACTTTGAGATGACACACACTTGGGGCTGAATCCCAGTCCTGTCACTTTCCAGGAATGACCTTTTGAGCCACTGGCTTCACCTGCCTGAGCCCGGTTCCCTCTCTGTCTGACTAAGGCGACACCCCCTTGGGATTGGGTGTGAGCATGCGCAGCACTGCTGTGAGCTCTGGTTCACAATGAGCGCTGCTCCCGAGGTGTCGGCATAAGCGCTGCCGGACACCTGGCCCAGCTCTGAGCTCTTCGGCCACAGTCCTGCTCCCTTCTCACCACTGCATGCTGGGAGGCCAGCCACGCTGCAGGTCAAGCACTTACGGACCACATGCAAAGATATGAAAAGGGCCGGCAGCAAGGAGGTGGTGACACAGCCTGGAGGTTGAGAAACCACAGGGAGTAAAAGGGTGGGGCCGAGCCGTTGGCGGATGGATAAGGGCTGATTGGGCGAGACTCGGGGCATTGAAGGTGTTTAACGCGAGGCAGCAGTTCTCAAAGCGGGCTCCCGGCCCAGCAGCATAGACACCATCTGGGAGCTGGTTAGAAAAGGAGATTCTCAGACCCTACCTCAGACACACTGAATCAGAAATGTAAGGGATGGGGCCCTGAGATCTGTGTTCAAACATACGCTAGAGGGCCCTTGAGCCCTGGCTGGTGTGGCTCAGTGGACTGAGCAATGTCCTGCCAACCGTAAGGTTGCTGGTTCAATTCCTGGTCCAGGCACATGCCTGGATTGCAGGCCAGGTCCCCAGTTGGGGTCCTGCAAGAGGCAACTGATCGATGTTTCTCTTTCTCCCTCCCTCCCTTCCCCTCTCTCTAAAAATAAATAAACTCTTTAAAAAAGGCAGGGAGCACTTTGAGCCTGGGTGCCAGGGATAAACAGTCACATCTGAATTCCTGGCCTCCACAGGCCTGCATTTCCCAGAAGAGGACCATTTTTTTTTAATGCTGCCATCTTAATAATTGACAACGGGTGGGGTTGGATTGGTGGTCTCTATGCAAAGTGTGGTGGTGGGGGGCAGCACCTTCCTCCCTGAAGCTTGTGGGAAATGTGGAGTCTCAACTTGGAGTCTCAAGGTGGAATGGATAGGAATCTGCGTGTTAACAGGAGCCCCAGGTGCTTCTGTGCACGGTCAGCTGGGGAGCATCTGAACGAAGCACCTGCTGCCTTTGCGTGCCTCGGTCTGCAGCTCCCCGCACCCCCTTCGAGGTGGCACACAGGCCCCCGGGTGCAGATGGGAAGCTAGGCTGACAGACGCTGAGCTCCCAGGCCTTTCCCTGAGACTGGGGGTCTCAGGAAGGCATGGAGGGAGGAGGCATGGAGAAACAGACCCCTCCAGGGCACGAGAGCAGGTGTGGGCCCTTGATCTCTCCCAGCGGAGCTCCCTCTCACCCTTGCCAGCCTGGAAAAACCCCGCCCCCAGGGAGGGGCCTGCACTGGGGTGTGGGAGGGGAGGGAGTCTTCAGATTCCCTTTCTCAGGCCAGAAGTCTCAGAAGCTGCAAGTTCTTGGGACAGATGGCCCTGACTTCATGTCCCTGTCTGGCTAAGTTTGGGGACATGACCTGAACACATGCTCTTTAGGGCTCCCTCAGTCCAGGACTCATTAGCCACCCCAGCAGCGCTAGACTCTTCCTTCTTCCACCCCTCCAGGTCCAAGAAATGCAGCTGAACCACCTGGAGTGAGCCCGAGTCCCTGTCCATCTGTGGGTGGCCAAGGACGGTCTCTCACCTTGAAGTTTGCATTTGGTGGTAAGGACTAGGTCTGTCAGAGGGGTGGGAGAGGGTGACGGCGGTGATGGGCAGGAAGGAGTTGGGTGTTCGGAAGAGAAGGGAGGGGAGGGGTCTGGTGGCCTTGGGTTGAGTGGGAGAGCAGGAGGGACAATAACGGGAAGAAAGCTAGAGGGGAAGGGGTGGGTGCAGCATTCCTTGAGGTGAAAAGCAGTGAGGCCCAGAGGGGGTGGGCCCAGGAGTGCATAGGGTGAAGGGGGAGCGGAGGTGCAGGAAGAGGCAGGTGGCAGCTTGGGGACGATGTGCCAGATGCGGTAGCTCTGACAACTGGGGAGAGAGACCTGTCAGAGCCAGAGAAGGATGCCATCTGTGAACTGGGAAGAACTCGAGATCACTGTTCCCTCTCTCCACCCCCTGCTGCTCCTAGACATGGAGGGACTGAGCCCTGCACGCAGAGGCCTTTTGGCAAAGCCAGCGACTGCCAGCCCCAGTCTGTCCTCACTGGGTGCTGTCTTCATCCTCCTGAAATCGGCGCTAGGGGCTGGCCTGCTCAACTTCCCCTGGGCCTTCCACAAGGCCGGCGGGGTGACCCCTGCCTTCCTGGTGGAGCTGGTAAGCCCCTGGGAAGCATTTTGGGGGCAGAATCCAGGCGGGATCCTTGGGTGTGGATCTGCAGAGCCTCCTGTCTTAGAAACTAGACCTGTGGGGTTGGTTTTCTGCCTGCTGAGCACACGATGGGAGAAGATAACTATGGACCTGGGCCAAGAGTGTCCTCTACATCCCCAGGTCTGCTGCCAGCCAGGGCTGGGAGGGGGCGCTGAGAACACAGCGTCTGAGCAGCCGCCCCACCAAGTGACTGCTGGTCTCAGCTCTGTGACTAGGGCTTCGGTGCACTTGCGGATCAGGCCAGGACTCAGACGGGCGGTGACAGCCCCACTCTGAGCTGGGCCAGGCCCTCTGTGGTGTCAGGGGTCCTCAGCCGCTTCTGTGGGCTGCATTCCAGCCTGAATTCCCTTTCCAGAAATTCCAGGGGCTGAGTGCCTTTAGCGGAGAACCAATGACTAGCACAACTTTATTTTATTTGCAAAGATTCCTTCTGGCTGATAGGAATCCCTGTGTTTTGTGGTAAGCTCTTTGACAGGCACCCCAAATCTGTTTTTATGGCAGTCAGCTACTAATGGTCCTGTTCTGTTTTAAGACATGAGGCTAGGTACAAAATGTCAAATAAGGTATTTCGGACAGAGGGGAGTGTTAGGAGGGTCATATGACGGGGTGGAGCGACATGACCCGGGTGGTCAGAGAAGGCCGACCTGAGGAGGTGCCGTCGAGCTGGGCCCTGGTGCAAATGGGAGAACTTGTCCAGGCGCACGAGAGGGGCAGCAGAGCTGTGTTGGGACTCGTGCAGTGGAAAGGCTGCCCTATCATAACAGTGAGGAAGGAGCTTCATCTCCAGCCATGAGAGCTGCTGTAAAGCCACGGGGCTGCAGGGGAGGGGGTGTGGTTAGCACAGAGGTGGCCAGTCCCAGGGGGGCAGGAAACGCTGTGGGGCCCCCACTCCTCACACTGTGTGCAGCATCTCCTGGGCACCTTGCTGAAATGCAGATGCCGACTCAGCAGGACTGGGAGGGTCTGAGAATGCATTTCTGATGAGCCCAGGGGACGAGGCTGCTGCCTGCTGGTAGGGCTTGCGCATTGTGCGGTGCAGTCTAAAGACATGAATAATGGAAACCCTGGACAAGGGTATTGGGCACACTGCCCTTCCCACCTCTCCCCTCCTTTCAGCCAGCGAGACTTCTGCCCTATCCCCTTTACGAGGTGCCAACTCGAACTGCGGGCGCATTTAAAACCTCACCACCAGGAGGCCAGTGGTGCGAGGTGGTAGGTCTCTCGTGACCCCTTTAGCACTAGAAGATTACTGAAATTCAGTGACCCTCGACCCTCTCTCAGAAGCTGCAGAGGCGGAGCCTGGGCCTGGGGGGATGAGGGCTCTTTGCTGTCCTGCTGCTCAGAGGCTCAGGGTCTCTCTGTCCCCACCTCCCCTCCCTTTGTCCGCAGATACCTGCTGAGTGTCTGCTCCACCTCAGGCACTCCTCTGGGAACTAACTGGTGAGCAAAACACAACAGAAGCCCAGGCTTCACAGAGATTAGAGAGCCCTGCTTGTCTGAGCACCATGCACTGGGTGGCTTAAAACCGCAGAAATGTGTCCTCTCATGGTCCTGGGCGCTGGGAGTCTGAACTCAAGGTGCCAGCAGGGGTTCAGCTCCCTCTGGGGGCTCCATTGGAGGGTCCTCCCTGCCTCTTTCAGCTTCTGGTGGCCAGATCCCTCCAACCCCTGTCCCACCATCACACAGTCTTCTTCTTTATGGTTTCTCTTCTGTCTCTTATGAGGCACTTGTCATTGGATTTCAGGGTCACCCAGAGGTCCAGGGTGACCTCATCTCGGGCTCCTTAAGGACACCTGAAAGACCCCTTTCCGTCTCATTGCGTCTGCAGAGACTGCCCAGTAAGTCACTCCCACAGGCTCCGGCGCTGAGGCTGCAGGCCTGTCTCCTGGGGCATCTCCCTGCAGCCCAGTGCAGGCACAAGGTTCTCTCAGAGCCTCAGCTCTGGGGTAGGGGCGTGAGAGCCCCTCAGGGTGAAGTGTCAGGAGGCTTTCTGGAGGGAATGACCTTGCAGAGGAGGAGAAAGAAGAGCAAGCATTCCCTAGGTGAGGGGAAGTGGTGGAAGCGGGTGGGCGTTCCAGGAGGAGGAACCAGGTGGACCAGGGTCCGGTGGCCAGAGGGAGCCTTGTGTCCCTTCTGACTCTGAAGGTTCAAGTTCCTTTCACACAGTTCAGTTAGATGCTTCTCCTCAGCAGCTGTAGCTGTGGCCTCTGGACTAGTACAGAACAGATCTGCTCATCCAGGGGCATGAACTGTGTCTGAGGACAGCTGTCCTAGTTTTCCCCAGGCCTCTGGGCTCAGCACAGCCAATCTCTTGCATTGCTACTTCCCCAGCACCAAGGGAGGGGTGTTGAGGCCAGGAGACCAAGTTTGGTTTGCAGGCCAGTAGCCGTCGGTGCTGGAGAGACTCAAAACCATTGCACTCTGTGCAGCAAGTGGGGCCCCCATGCATGGAGGGGGCATCCAGTGGCATTGACACTTTGGAAAGCAGTTCGGTGATGTCTTAGAGTTAAAAACACGTCTACCTTATGACCCAGCATTTCTCCCGAGTGCATGTCCAGGAGGACAAAGTGTCCTTAAAATGACTTGGTCTGGAGGGCTCAGCGCTTTAATCACAGTGGCCAAAACCAAAAAACAACCCAGGTGTCCGTCACCAGGACGATGGAGCAGCCATGACTGTGTCCATACAGTGGAGTGGCACACTGCAGAAACCAGAGCGGCATCTGATGCATCCAGTGTGGCTGGATTTCATAGGCGTGGCAGAGTCAAAGAAGTTTCTTCTGGGGACAGGATGGGGGCAGCAAGTGACCAGGAAGGGACAGGGGGCACTTCAGAGGTGTGGTAGAATGTTCTGTATCTCGATAGAGGTGCACTTGTTGTATCCCTTTGGGTGATGCACTTTCATGCAGGTAACCTGTGCGACTTCAGCACGGCCATGTAGACTCCGGGTTTCTGATGCCCAGAGTCTGCCCAACTGGGCGGAATGGTGTGTATGGATCCCAGGTAAAAGACTGACGGCCAGTGAGGCCTCAACAATCTACCTGCTCTGCTCTGGGCAGGGGAGGGGCCCCTAGGCGGTAGGCAGCCGTGACCTCTGCAGGTGAGAGGCCTGTGGAGGGAGCCGTACCAAGGTCCCCAGGGGCAGTGGCTGCAGTGGTGGCTCATGGGAGCACCCTGGCCCACAGCCCTGCTCTGCAGGTGTCCTTGGCCTTCCTGATCAGTGGGCTGGTTATCCTGGGCTATGCCGCCTCCGTCAGTGGCCAGACGACCTACCAGGGTGTGGTTGGAAGGCTGTGTGGACCAGCCATTGGGAAGCTGTGTGAGGCCTGCTTCATCGTCAACCTGCTCATGATCTCCGTGGCCTTCCTCAGGGTGATCGGGGACCAGCTGGACAAGCGTAAGTACCTGGGCTGCAGGTGGGGTGGCCTCAGATTTGGTCCTCCTTATGCCCCTGGATCTCCTGGTTGACAAGCAGGACGTGGACACTGAGCTGGATCCTGGGGAACAGCAGAGACCAAGACCAGCCCCTGAGTTCCTGACGTCCTGAACAAGGGAGACTGGGAATTAGTAATTACCGGGCAGGGAGAGTCATGTGGGGGGCAGGGCTGTGGTTGGGGTGTCTAGTGAGTCAACTGAATGAAGCCCCTATGAGAGATAACCAATGACACCTTGAATTTGGGGACATTGGAGACCCTGCACTTGTTGGCCTCGAGTTCCCCACTAACGATTTCCCTCTAAGCGTGGCTTTTGCTGCATCCACCAATTCTGATATGTTCTCTTTTCATTTTTGTCCCATTGAAAACATTTGCTAAATTTTGCTGTGCTTTCTTCTTTGCCTCATGGGATGTTTAGCGTTGTGTGGCTTGATTTCTAATTATTTGGGAGTTCTTTTAGATTTTGGGGTTCTACCTTAACCGCATCCTGGTCAGAGAACACTCTGTGATTTCAGTGTGTGGGCATTTGGAGCTTGTCTGTGGGCCCCGCAGGTTCGGTCTGGTGAGCGTTTCTGGATGTGCGTTCTGCCGCTGCTCAAGGTGGGCCACAGCTTTGCACAGCTCGTCCACGGCCTCACTGATTCTATGGTCTAGTTATTCTATCAGTCTGAGAGAGGGGGCGATACTATCTCCAACTATGATTGCAGATTTATCTATCTTTAATTCTGTCCATTTTTTTCCTTGTGGTTTTGAAGCTCTGTCATTAGGCACACACCTATGAATTACCCTTTCATTATTATGATATATCCCTTTCTGTCTCTGGTAATACTTTGTCATTAAATCAACCTTCTCTGCTATAAATATAGGCACTCCAGCTGTCTTAAGATTAGTGTTTACGCAGTACTTCTCTTCCTAGTCATTCACGGTGAACCTGTGACCTGGGTTTTAAAATACATTTCTTGGAGATAGCATATGGCTGGTTCTTGCTTCTTTATCATCATGATGATCTCAGACAGGCTTTTTGTTTTTAAAAGATTTTATTCACTTTTAGAGAGAGAGGAAGGGAGGGAGAACAAGAGGGAGAAATCCATCATCATGAGAAAGAAACATAGATTGGTTGCCTCTTGTATGTGCCCCAGTTAGGAACTGAACCGGCAACCCAGGCAGTGCCCTGACTGGGAATCTCACCCATGACCCTTCCTTTTGCAGGACAGTGCCCAACCAGCTGAACCACAGTGGTCAGGGCTCACACAGTCTTTTAGCTGGAATGTGATTATTCTTTAATTTAATCTTTATTGTATTTTTTGCATTAACATTTAGTCCCCTTATACCTGTTCCTCCCCACAACCACCAAACTGTTGTCCATGTCCATGAGTCCTTTTTCCTTTTTGCAGATCCCTCCACCCCTACCGTCCCCCACTCCTTAACTGTCATCCTGCTCTCCATCTATGAGTCTGTCCCCGTTTTCCTTGTTACTTCACTTTGTTCATTAGATTCCACATATGAGTGAGATCATATGGTATTTGTCTTTCTCTGACTGGCTTATTTCACTTAGCACAATATTCTCCAAGTCCATACATACTGTCACAAAGGGTAAAATTTTCTTCTTTTTATAGCTGAGTAGTATTCCAACGTGTAAATGTCCCATAGTTGTTTTATCCACTCATCTACTGATGGACACTTGGGCTGCTTCCATATCTTAGAGATTGTAAATAACACTGCAATGAACATAGGGGTACTTGTGTTTTTTCAAATTAGCGTTTTGGGTTCCTTCAGATATATTCCCAGAAGTGGGATCGCTGGGTCAGAAGACAGATCCATTTTTAATTTTTTGAGGTGTCTCCATACTGCTTTCCACAGAGGATGCACCAGTCTGCATTCCCAACAGTGCACTAGGGTTCCTGTTTCTCCACATCCTCGCCAGCACTTGTTGTTTGTTGTTTTATTGACAACAGCCATTCTGACAGGTGTGAGGTGGTATCTCATTGTGGGTTTAATTTGCATTTCTCTAATGATTAGTGACATTGAGCATCTTTTCATATGTCTATTGGCCATCTGCATGTCCTCTTTGGAGAAGTATCTATTCAGGTCCTTTGACCATTTTTTAAAAATTGGGTTGTTTGTGTTTTTGGTATTGAGTTTTGTAAGTTCTTTATAAATTTTGGATATTAACCCCTATCAGGTGTATTGGCAAACATGGTCTCCCATTCTGTGGGTTGTCTTTTTATTTTGTTGATGATTTCCTCTGCTGTGCAAAAACTTTGTAGTTTGATGTAGTCCCATTGTTTATTTTGTTCTTTTGTTTCCCTTGCCTGGGGAGATATATCCAATAAAATATTCCTACAAGCAATGTCCACGATTTTGCTGCCTATGTTTTCTTATGATTTTTATGGTTTTGGATCTAACATTTAAGTCTTTGATCCATTTTGCATTTATCGTTGTGTGTGGTCTAGTTTCATTTTTCTGCATGTATCTGTCCAATTTCCCCAACACCATTTATTGAATTAACTATTTTTAGTTCATTGTATGTGCTTGCTTCCTCTGTTGAATATTAATTAACTATAAAGCTGTAGGTTTATTTCTGGACTCTCTATTCTGTTCCATTGATCTATGTGTCTATTTTTATGACTGCACCATGCTGTTTTGATTACTATGGTCTTAGAGTATAGTTTCATATTAGGCAGCATGATTCCTCCAACTTTGTTCTTCTTTCTCAGGATCACTGTTGCTAACGTGGGCATTTTGTGGTTCTGTATTAATTTTGGAATATTTGTTCTAGTTCTGTGAAATATGCCATTGGAATCTTGATAGGAAGTGCATTGAATCTATAGATTGCTTTGGGGGTAGTATGGGCATTTTAGTGAAGTTAATTCTTCCTATCCATGAACATAGTATGTGCTTCCACTTATTTATATCATCTGCAATTTCTTTCTTCAGTGTCTTGCAATTCTCTGAGTACAGGTCTTTGACATTCTTGGTTAGGTTTATTACTAGGTGTTTTATTCTTTTTGTAGCAATTGTGAATGGGATTGTTTTCTTAATTACCCTTTCTGTTAGTTCATTATTAGCATGTAAATATGCAACTGATTTCTGGATAATTACTTTGCTGAATTCATTTATAAGTTCCAGTAGTTTCTTGGTGGAATCCTTGGGGCTCTCTATGTACAGTATCATGTCATCTGTAAATAATGACAGTTTTACTTCTTCCTTTCCAACTTCAATTGTAAATAACACTGCAGTGAACATAGGGGTACTTATGTTCTTTTGAATTAGCATTTTGGGTTCCTTCAGATATATTCCCAGAAGTGGGATTCCCAGAAGTTGGAAGTCTGATTGCTGTGGCTAGGACTTCCAGTACTATGTTGAAGAAGAGAGGTGAAAGTGGGCACCCCTGTCTCCCTGATCATAAGGAGAATGCTTGTAGTTTTTGCCCATTGAGTATGATGCTGGCAATGGGTTCGTCATATATGGCCTTTATTATGTTTAGTATATTCCCTCTAATCCTGCTTTGGTGAGAGTTTTTATCATAAATGGGTGCTAGATTTTGTCAAATGCATTTTTTGCATCTATTGATATGATCATGTGGTTTTTATCCTTCATTTTATTTATATGTGAATCACATTTATTGATTTGTGAATATTGTACCAAACTTATATTCTTGGAATAAATCCCACTTGATCATGGTGTATGATCTTTTTGGTGCATTGCTCTATTTGGTTTGCTAATATTTTGTTGAAGATTTTAGCATCTATGTTCATCAAGGATATTGGCCAGTAATTTTCCTTTTTTGTAGTGTCTTTATATGGCTTTGCAATTAGGATAATGCTAACTTCGTAAAATGAGTTCGGGACCTTCCCTCCTCTTGAAATTTATGAAATAGTTTGAGGAGGGGAGGTGTTAGTTCTTCTTGGAATGTTTGGTAAAATTCACCTGTGAAGCCATCCAGTCCAGGGCTTTTGTTTGTTGGGAGTTTTTTGATTACTGCTTCAATTTTACTGGGTGTAATCTGTCTATTCAGATTCTCTGATTCTTCCTGAATTAGTTTTGGAAGATTGTGCGTTCCAGACTAGGCTGTTGGGGGGTCCATGATTCTAGGAATTTATCCATTTCATTCAGGTTGTCCAGTTTGTTGGCATATAGTTGTTCATAATACTTTCTTACAATCCTTTGTATATCTTTGGTGTCAGTTGTTATTTGTCCTCTTTCATTTCTGATTTTGCTTATTTGGGTCCTTTCTCTTTTTTTCTTGATGAGTCTGGTTAAAGGTTTGTCAATCTTGTCTATCTCTTCAGAGAACTAGCTCTTGGATTTGTCTGTCTTTTGTATCATTTTTTAAGACTCTAGTTCATTTATTTCTGCTCTGATCTTTATTATGTCCTTCAATTTGGGCTTTGTTTGCTGTTCTTTTTCAAGTTCCTTTAAGTTTGAAGTTAGTTAGATTGTTTATGTGAGCTTTTTCTTGTTTTTGTTTTTGGTTTTTTGTTTTTTTTTTGGAGACAGGCCTGTAATGCTATGAATTTCTCTCTTAGGATCGCTTTCCGGTGTCCCACAGATTTTAGATTGTTGTGTCCTCATTTTCATTTGTTTCAAGGTACCTTTTGGTTTCTTCCTTGATCTCATTGTTAACCCATTCATTGTTTAATAACCTGTTATTTAGCTTCCATGTCTGTATGTTTTTTGTATTCTTCTTGTGATTGATTTCTAGATTCATATAGCACTGTGGTCAGAGAAGATGCTTGATATGGTTTCAGTCTTCTTAAATTTATTGAGACTTGTTTTGTGTCCCAACATGTGGTCTACCTTGGACAATGTTCCTTGTGCTCTTGAAAAGGATGTATATTCTGCTGCTCTGGGATGAAATGTTCTAAAGATATCTATTAAATCTATTTGAGCTAGTGTGTCATTTAAGGCCACTGTCTCCTTGTTGATTTTTGGCCTGGAAGATCTACCCATTGAAGTCACTGGTGTGTTAAAATCCCCAACTATGACTGTATTTCTGTCGATCTCTCCCTTTACATACATCAAGATTTGCCTCACATATTTAGGTGCTCCTATGTTGGGTGCATGAATGTTTACTAGGGTTATACCTCTTGATGGATTTTTCCCATTATCATTATATAGTGCCTTTCTTTGTCTCCTACTATAACCTTGGTTTTAAAGTCTGTTTTGTCAGATATAAGTACTGCTAGCCCAGCTTTTTTTTCTCTTTCCATTTGCATGAAATATCTTTTTCCATTCCTTTACTTTTAGTCAGTGTGTATATTTTGATCTGAGATGGGTCTCTTGGAGGCAGCATATATGTGGGTCTTGTTTTCTTATCCACTCAGCTACCCTTTGTTTCTTGATTGGAGCATTTAAGGCTTACACTTTAAGCCATTTGCAATTAAGGTGATTATCAATAGATACATATTTAGTTCCATTTCATTCTTAGACTATTTTCCTCTGTTTTTTTTTCTTTCTCTTTTTCTATTTCTTGAAATAAGCCCTTTAACATTTGTTGCAGTACTGGTTTGGTGTTAAACAAACTCCTTTAGCTTTTTCCTGTCTGGGAAGCTCCTTATTTCTCCTTTGATTTTAAGTGATAGCCTTGCTGGGTAAAGTAGCCTTGGTTGCAAGCCTTTGCATTTCACCATCTTGAATATTTCATGCCACTCCCTTCGGGCCTGAAATGTTTTTGCAGAGAAATCAGGTGCCAGTCTAGTTGATGCTCCCTTGCATGTAACTACTTGCTTTTCTCTTGTGGCTTTTAGGATTCTCTCCTTGTCTTTAAGCCTTGTCATTTTAATTATGATGTGTCTCAGTGTAGGCTTCTTTGAGTTCAACTTCTCTGGGACTCCCTGAATTTCCTGGACTTTTGCGTCTCTTTCCTTCACAAGATTAGGGAAGTTTTCACTCATTATTTCTTCAAATAGCTTCTCAATCCCTTGCTTGCTCTTTTCCTTCTGGTGTTCCCATGATATGTGGATATTGTTATGGTTCATATTGTCCAAAATGTTTCTTAAACGCTCCTCATTTTTTAAAATTAATTTTTCTTTTTGCTGCTCTGCCTGGGTGTTTTTTCTACCTTGTCTTCCAAATCACTGATCTGATCCTCTGCTTCCTCTAACCTACTGTTTATTCCTTCCAGTATATAATTTATTTCAGATATTGCATTCTTTCTGACTGGCCCTTTTTTGTGGTTTCTATGTCTTTTTTCATGTTGTTGAGTATCCTTATAATCATTACTCTAAACTATCTGATAAATTGCTTGCCTCTACTTCATCTAGTTGTTCTTCTGGAGAATTCTCTTGTTTTTTTTCATTTGGGGTCTGTTTTTTTTTTCTTTTTTAATTTAATCTTTATTGTATTTTTTCCATTACCATTTAGTCCCCTTATACCCTGCTCCCCCCAGCAATCACCACACTGTCATCCATGTCCATGGGGTCTATTTCTTTGTCTTCCCATTTAGGCTGCTGCTTTGTATTTTCTCCCTTAGCTGTTAAATTGATGAGTTGTTAAACTAATCAAACTTTAAGCGGCCTGGCATACACACTACAGGATGGGGCAGAGTAATTCCTGTGGGCAGGGCCATTGCTGCGCTCAGGTTCAGGGTGAAGAATACTCTGCCTGAGAGAGATGGCTTCTGAAGCATGGGGAATGGCCCAGCATGGGGATCCTGGTGGCTGTTCCTTCAGTTCTCTCCCCAGAGCACCAACACCAGACTCTCCTCAAGAGCCTCTATTCCACTCTGCCCTCCCTCTGCCAGAGCCCAGGGTAGGTGGCTGCAAATGAAATTTTGTGTGTTGGCCCTTTAAGAGGCTCTCTGCATCTCCAGCTGTATCTCCTTAGCAGACAGAAACGCTGCTGCTTTTTCGTAGCTGGATGTTATCTGGGTTCCCTTCTGGCTCTGGTGCTGTAGGCTGGGGAGACCAGCCTGGGGTTTAGACCCCACACTTCTCAGGGAGAACCCCCTGGCTGCTGAAATATCCCTTCAGAGCTTCAGCTGCCTCCTGTGGGAGCCCAGCCAGCCCACTTGCACCTTCTCTGCACTCCCTACCAGCCACATTGTGTGTGGTAAAGTGGTTTCTTCAGTCTGTCCTTGGTAATAAGACTTCTGTCCAGCTAGAATTCAGTTGGTTATTCAGGATGATTTCTCCATAATTTAGGATTCTCCAGATTGGTCCTGGGAGGAGGTTAGTGTCGCTTCTACTTACTCCTCAACAATTTTGATTTTTCTGGAATGTAATTATTGATATGGTTAGGTTTTAGTTCACCATTTTACTGTTTCTTTGGTTTGTTCTGTCACTTGACCCACGAATGAAAGGGCCCCTGACTTGGGGGTAATGAAATTAAAAACTGTTATCCCAAGAAGCATTAAGGCTGGTAGATCTGAACCTTGCAGTCGGCAAATGGGTACAAGATGCCCTGTTTCCATGTGGCAAGCAGAGGTTGGATCAGTTTCAGCTCTGGTCAGCTGGCGGTGCTGCTGTGTAGAGAAGGGTTCTGAAGCCACATTTAGGCTCAGTAGTCGAGCACTCAGAGTGGTCAGAGCATTGACTAGGATGCAGACCACCCTGGCTCTGGGTGAACTGACTGGGATGGAGAGAGTTTGGTTTGTGTGTTTCTGGCTAGGTCTTTCTGTAGGCAAGTCCAGGCTTCTTAGGAGGGGGACTAAGTGGAGGTGGGGGAAGTCACCGAATGTCCTGGGGAGGGATGAGTTGACTATAAGTGACTGGTACTGAGGACATCGAGGAATGTCTTAGCAAGTGCAGGGTCAGGAAGGACAGCCCTGCTACCAGAGCGGGGTTTCCTGGCTGCAGGAGGTCAGAGGGATAGAAGGGCCTGCACCTCATGCCACACCCGTGCGCGGTCTGACACTCACCAAGATCTCGGTGCAGCCTGGGTGCGTACCTTCTCTTGGCACATCTGGCCCAGAATGCCTGCTTCTGCCAGCTGCCTGGGTGCCTCTGTGCAGTGACCATGACATGGGACTGGCTGCTTGTGCCACTTCAGTAGAAACAAGCTATTCTCACGAGGCATTTCTTTCTTTGCCTGGCTGGCTTTGCGGAGCATTTGGCGAGAACAAAGAAAGGGCAGTGCAGTGCTCAGCTCCCAGCCACCCCTCAGTGGGGCTGCAGGAGCCACCTCCCCATGGGTTCCAGCCTCAAGCCATCTTGCCTTCTCCGCTCTGCTCTCCTGTCCCCCATCCATCTTTCCTGATTCCAACTCAAAATTCCCCTTCTTACTGTGTGTGGCGGAGTGAAATGGTTTCCGGTTCTCTGGTGTTCCTCACACTGAGAGGTTGGTGGGGTCTGTGTCCCCTGCCCTGGATCAGGGTAGGGTCTGTGACAGCATGGTCCAGGACAGTATGGCAGATGTGACACCATGCCAATTCCAGGCTTGGCCTTCAAGAAGACAGGCCATTTCCACCGTGGTCTCCGGGAGCTCCCAGCTGCCATGGACTAGGCTGCTGGGGGGTCCCAGTGGAGGAGGCTGCAGGGAAGGTCCAGCTGAGTCCAGGTGTCCCCACCAGGCCCCTGGTGTGGGGAGAGCCATCGAGAACCCTCCAGACCAGCCCTCCTAGCAGCTGAGTACTCCCTAGAGAACCCCCACCAGGCCCACGCAGAACACAAGTGGCCACTCCAGGCCACTGGGGCAGCTTGTTATGCAGCAGCAACAGAGAACAGTGGCTCTGCCTGGCACCTGCACCAAAATGCCACGCCAGGCCCCAGCTGGATGCTGCACACCATGCCACTGAGCTCCAGAGCAGGAAAAAAAAGGTCTTTTATGAAGGACCCAGGTGCCTCAACAGTGGGTCGTTGTGCCTCATTTGTTGCCGGATTCCAGCACTAAGAGCTGAGCTCAGTGCACATCTGTTGAATGAATTCCTGCAGCTAGATTCCTTCCCTCGTGGTGGCACGTGATAGGGTCCCCATCACACTTGTCCCTTTAGACTTGCAGGGCTGACTTAGTGCCCAGGACAAACCCTACCAGGGACCCTTAAGGCTGGGAGCCCACAGCCAGGGCTGTGACTGCTGGGTGAGAGCCGTGCAGGGCTCACTGCAGCCCCTCCCCACCTTCCCGCCAGTGTGTGACTTCCTCCTGCCCGGTGCTCTGCTGGCCCTGCCGCCCTGGTACGTCGACCAGCGCTTCACCTTGACCCTGCTCTCCGTGCTGGTCATCCTGCCCCTGTCTGCCCCGAGGGAGATCGGGTTCCAGAAATTCACAAGGTATGTGGCTGCAGACGCTCCCTGGCTGGGCAGTGGCTTTGACTGGTCCCCACCACGGGCGGTGTTTGTTGCAGGGGTTTCCGTCCACCTCTGACAGGGCAGCTCTTAACATTGGCCTTCCCATTTGGACAAGGAAAAAAAAATTAAAAATTACACAGGTAACATCTATGTGTGAGAGAAAATGTAGAGAAGCAACAAAGAAAACTGCCATGATGGCATAAACTGTTGCAATGTTTTATTTAATTAGTACAGACTTTATACGCACACACGTGTGCATGTAAACATAGCACAGACGGAGACACAGCATGCACATCCTTCTCTTCCTTTTGTGGTCCGTGTGGTTTTACGTATGTCTTTGAAAGAGTTAAGTCTGGCAAAAGTACCCGTACAGACTTGCAACCTGTGTTTCCCTGTTGAGTTCAGAGCAACCATGGACTTTACACCTCGGAAACAGAGAAACGTGGGCAGAGACTTTGAGCCCCCCAGGTGCCCCCTGACCCTCGACAGTCTCTTTTGTCAAGCCTGGCTGAGGTAGGTAGGGGTCCTCCTCCACCGCAGCCGGTGTCCTGACTCAGATGCCAAATCTGAGTGTCTGTGTGGCTGTCGCTGGAGAGATGGGGATACCAGGGACCATCCCAGCCTCACGGGTGTGTGCCCGCCTGACCTCTGGGCCTGAGAGCTGTCCTGCCAGAGCTGTCCTGAAGTGCCTGCTGCTGGCCCCGGGGTGCAGATGAGGAAATCAAGGCTCAGAGCAAGGAGAACTTTGTAGACACCGTGCTGGTGTGGGCAGAGCTGGCATTCAGTCCGCACTCTGTGTGGCTCCCCGGCCCTCCCTGGTGGGGCCGGTGGCCCCTGGTGTTTATGGTTATGCGTTGTCTGTGTGTCAGCTTCCTAGGCACCCTGGCCGCCTGCTACCTGGCCCTGGTCATCGTGGCGCAGTACTACCTCGGGGCCCAGGCCCTGGTGCGGGAGCCCCGCCCTGCCCTGAGGTGAGTTGAGGGAATGGCCTTTCTGACCTCCCGGGGTGCTGTGGGGGATCCCTGAAGCACGGACACTTCTCCCCCTGATTTGCACAGAGCCCTGGCTGCTCTCTGTGAACCCCTTGGCGTCTTCAACACCCTAGGGCCCAGCAAAGGCCCCTTCCCTGCTTCAGAATGGACTCAGCTGTTGTTCATAAGGACCTGAGACTGGCCGAGGGACACAAAACACTAAGTGCCATACCACCATGGGGCTGCTAGGCTTCTGCAGAAGTGTCCCCACAGCCTGGAGGCAGTAGAACTGGTTGGCAAGGTGCTGGCACTGGGGCAGAGGGTACAGGGGTGTAAGAGGCCAGTGTGGCCCTACCAGCCTGAGCAAGGCCAGGGGAGGGGGCAGGGGTGTCCTGTGGGGATGCGGAGCCTCAGCGAGGACATCGGTTTTGCTGGGAAGCCACTGCAGAGTTTGGAGCACAGGGAGAGGGGCTGGTGGGAGGGGCAATGCTGGAGTCGGCTTTGAAACTTCTAAACGAAGGTGTGGGGCAGCCAGCTTGTCAGAGCCATGTGTCTGCAGTTCAGAGAGAGAGGCCTGGCCTGGAGGGGAAAAGGTGGTTGGCGTCAAGCCCAGACATGGTATGTAAGGCCAGGCGCCCAGTGAGAACTGTACTTGGGACCCACAGGCTCTGCCCAGCCCAGGAGGCCAGTGGAGGAGGAGGAGGAGCAGGGGAAGGATGGGGAGGAGTGGGGAGTCAGGAGAGGTGCTAGCCTCCTGGGGCTGCCGTGACAACTGTCCACAGACCTGGTGGCTTCACACAGCAGGCATGTGTCCTCTCGGCTCTGGAGGCCAGGAGTGGAAAATCAAGCTGTGAGCAGGGCCGAGCGCTTCCGCAGTTCTAGGGGAGCACCCTTCCTGCCTGTCTGAGCTCCTGGCAGTTGCCAGTGGCCCCTGGCTGAAGGATGGCTGCCTCACACAGCCTCTGCCACCCTCATCCCACGGCCCCCGCTGGGTGTCTGTTTTCTCTTCCTACCGGACACCAGTCCTTGCATTGGCACCCAACCTGCTCCTGCACGACCTCGCCTTAGTTTAACTAATTACATCTATGGAGGCCCTGCTCCCAGATAAGGCTTTGTTCTGAGGCTCCCAGGGGGCGTGAATTTGGGGAGCACCATTCAGCCAGGACAGAGGATGATGGAAGGTGGGTCTCAGATGTCAGTGAACAAAATTTCTAGAAGGTTGGCATGATCGTTGCTGAATGCTGCTCCTGGGTCACATGGGACTGAGTCCCGGGCATCGATGTGGCCGTGGAAGCCGCTGGTGGTATTACCTGGTCAGGGCAGGAGAGGGGCGAAGGCCCAGGTGGATTGGGCTCATGAGAGACAGAAGGAGGCAGGAAGCAGTTCTTCTGAGGAGAGGAGGAGAGGAATGGGCAGGCGCTGAGGGGGACAGAGCCCTCCCCAGCCCCTGTTGATGCCAATGGGCAACCCCTTAGAGAAGGAAAAGCCGGGGAGGAGAGGACCAGGCTCACTGCTGATCTACAGCCTGGAGCCAGGGGCCGGGAGCGGGGGAGGGTCCTGTGCTCTGGGGACTCGGACTGAGACTGGGGCTCAGACTGTCTCTCCCACAGAGGCAGGAAGGGACAGCACTCGGGGGCCCAGAGGTCCCAGGCAGACAGAGGGCGCAGTGCAGGCGTGGGCTCTCTGCTCCTGGTCTGAGCAGGAACTGGGCGTCAGGTGACAGTGCTGGTGAGGATGATCAGGGAAACCCTGCTGCGTGGGCAGGCGCCAGGCGCGGCGTCCAGGGTGAAGTCAGCCAGACCAAGCGCAGAACGGGAGACACCCCCGTGTCAGGGTCCCCTGGCTGCCATAACAAGTCACCACCAACCTGGGGGGCCTGAAACAACACGGATTTCCCGTCTCAGTTCCGGAGGTCAGGAGTCCTCCATGAGTCTCCCCTGGCTAGAGGCAAGGTGTTTGCAGGGCTGTGCTTTTGGAAACTCCAGGCGACAGCCTGTGTCTTGGCCTTTTTCAGCGTCTAGGTGACACCCACATGCCTGGCTGGCTGCCCTGCCTCCATCTTTAAAGCCAGCAACACCCCTTTTCTCTGTCGTCTCCATAGTCACCGCTCCCTCTGATCACAGCCGGACGGGGCTCTCTGACTTCATGCATTCGTGTGACACACTGGGCCTAGGTGATGCGGGATCACCTCCCGCTGCAAAGTCCTCACCATTAATCACACCTGCAGCGTGCCTTTTGTCCCGTCAGGTCGCATGTGCACAGGTCCCTGGAGAAGGGCACGGACCCCTTGGGGGCCACTATTCTGGCACGACCAGGAAACCCTGACTCTGTAGCAGGAGTTGTTTATGGCCCACCCCACCGTATGTCCCCAAAGGTGCTGGACGCTGGCACCTAGAGCCGCTGGTCAAAGGAAGCGGGAGGGCCACCATCCTGAAAACTCCACCCCACGCACACCTCAGGCCTTTCTGGCAGCTTGGACAGAGGTCCAAGCGTCCTGGCACTGCTGGGTGTCTGCCTGGTGGACACTGGCTGGACGGGGCCTGCACCCCCGGCCCCGAACCTCCCTGGGGACAGGCAGCCTCAGAGGGATGCTGGGAGCACCTGCTCGCCATGCCCTGTTCCACTTCTGCCCGCACAGAGAAGGTCAAGTCGCCAAAGTGTCGGCAGAAACGCATTTGGAAAGTGCAGCTGTGAACACGCATCCTTTCCCATCTCCCCAAAGCTGGCAGTGGACACAACGTAAAAGCATATTTTACAGTCATGTGTCGTCACACCCTCCTGGCATTGTTTGAAACTCATCTCCAAGTCGGAGGTTGTCTTGAGTCGAACTTTTTGTAATCACCACCTGTTCTCCTCTGTTTGCAGTCCTTCCTCCTGGGCCTCCGTGTTTAGTGTCTTCCCCACCATCTGCTTTGGATTTCAGGTAACCTTCGTGTCTGTGGCGGGGAGTGGCCTTCGCAGGCTGTGGGGGCTCCCTGCTCCCGTGGGAGAGGGTGGCCTCCCTGTCAGGAGAGTGGTGTGAAGACTTGTCCTAGGCTGAGACAGGCTGTCTTCAGAGACTGGGCATGTGGGTGCAGATCTGGGCTCAGTGCCTGTGAATTGCTGTTGAACTTGGGAACCCGACCAGCAGCCGACAGTTGCAGCAGATGTGTTGGGTCCAGGATAGAATGGGGGATGGGGGTTCGGCAACTGTCCCTTCCTCCGCAGCATCCTCGCAGGCCTGCACGCCTGGGCCTGCCCTCTTCCTCGTGCAGGACGCCAGGTGGATTCTGCTCCAGGGCTTTGGGGAGGAGAGAGCCTGCTGCGGGAGGCTGGGGGCCAGGAGGGCTGCGAGGTGTGCAGGTGGCTGTGTGGCAGGTCCGGGGCAGGATGTACAGAATTTTCAATAGGAAGTCATGGAGTGAGAATGGGTTCAGCGAGTGCAGCCCATCTGAGGGGCTTCTGATCTAGCCCTGAAGGATAGGTGGGAGGCGGCCAGGTGAAGGGAGGATGGTCCAGCTGGAGAGGGCAGCATGGGTGACTCAGGGAGGGGAGAGTGTGCGTGGTGGGGCTGCAGAGCTGTAGAGGGCTCTGCTAGGTGGGTGCCCCATGGGCGCTGGAGACGAGGGTGAGAGCTAGTGTGGGCTCTGCTCCCTGCCTTCCAGGCTGTCTGTCTCAGCCGGTGGCAGCTGACTCCGTGCTTCCACTGTCCACTTCAGGAGACAGTTGCCCTGCTCTCAAACATCTACCACCACACCAATGACAAAACCACCCCGAAGCACAGTCAGGTCCCCAGGGGAAGGTGGTTCAGGAGTGACAATATCTCAGCTTCCTACCTGAGTTTTTTATCTCCCCTTATCCATCAGCTAGCTCCAGTTTCTGTTCCTCATTTTCTTGGAGAAACATTTTTGAAAAAACTCCTGAAACATTTCCATTTCTCTTCCTTATAAATGAGCTGATGGTATCGCTGCTGGGGCTTAGCAAGCCGTTTACAGGAATTCCTCGTGTCTTTTCCTGCGCACCCAATATTTTGAAAGATCTGAGGCAGTGATTTTGCTGACAACTGTTGGGATGTGGCTTTCACCACCCCTCTCTCCAGTGCTGAGCACCATATGGTGTGACAGGCTCGCACTGGGGGGCTGCTTTTCAGATGCTTAGCAGGGGGTGCCCCCCACCTTTGCCTTGGCTCCCCAATTCAATTCTCCCGGCAGCTGAGGCCTGGGCTGAGGTTTCCAGGGACAGGTATGCAGTGATGGGAAGCTGGGAAAAGACGTGAATCGCAGGTGCAGGTGGGGGTGGGGCCGGGGTCAGAGGCCGGGATGCAGGGGTGTGGTGTGGAGAGAAGGCATCCGGGCTGGGGGAGAGCAGATGCAGACGATGAGCAGGGGGTGGGCTGAGCAGTGGGGCAAGGCTGGAGGGGCTGTGCGGGGGCGGGGCGGGGCGGGGCGTTGCTTTGTCATCCGGAGCTCTGACCTGGTTCAAACCCCACACCCACATTTCACAACAGCCCCCCCCCAGCCTGCACAGAGTGGGTCAGAGGAGTCTGGGGGAGCAGAGGCGGGAGCTGGGCTCTGCTCCCAGCCACCCTGGCTGCACTCGAGACTCCTCGGGTGTTGGTTTTTTAAAAACAGTTTCATTGCGATACAACTCCCATCGCCATATGCACCTCGCCCATCTGAGGTGTGAAGGCCGGTGGTGTTCCGTGTGGTGACAGAGCTGGGCAGCCCTCACCGTGGTCAGCTTCAGAAACTCCTACCGCCCCACAGGAAACAGGCGCCTGTTCATCACCAGTCACTCCCCGCCCCACCCCTCCCTCCGACCGGCAACCACGATCCTCCGCTCTGCCTCTGGATCTGCCTGTTGTGGGCAGTCCACATAAATGGACTCCTACGATTCATGGTCCTCCGAGACAGCTCCTTTCACTCGGCATCGTGTTCTTGAGGTTCATCCATGTTGTAGCGTGTGTCCCCTTCTATGGCTGCGTCATAGTCCACTGCAGGAACAGGCCACGGTTAGCTTGCGGTTCCTCAGCTGGCGGACACCCGCATTGCCTCCACTTCTAAGTCGGTATGTGCACCTCTGCCCTGCACCCCTCTCTAAGTGAGTAGGGAGCCTGCACACAGCCAGCCCCTGTCCCCCAGGCCGCTCGAGCAGGGTAGCCCTGCCCTCAGGGGACGGGCTATATTCTCCTCACAAACCCGAGAGAAACTCACCCAGGAGTCTTAGGACAGAGGAAGAAGGGCAGGGCTCCATCCAGCCACCTCCAAGCATTTTCCCCATTTCTGAGTCTGGGAGAGGGGATGTGGGAGCCTTGACCCATGGGGCTCCGCTGCCCCTTGGTTGAGGGTCCCTGGGGCTGCAGGCCAGTGGGCTCCTCTGAGGTCAGGGAAGTCCCTGGGCAGAAAGCCCAAGACACACTGGTGCCCTGAGGCTCATCGGTCCTAGAAGGTATGCATGTATCACCCTGGTGGCTGCAGGCCTAGGAAGTGCAAGGGACAGAGGGGACTGAGCTCAGTGAGGGGGAGGAGCGTGGCCCTCGAGGAGCCTGGAGTGTGGGTAGGAGCAGATAAGCACGGCTGGTTTTGATCAGAAGTGAGTGAGCGAGTGGACATAGTAGTGGGGGCCCTGCCCCAGGAGCCTGGGAAGATCCCAGAACCCTAAGGGTACACGCAGATCTGGGGGCGCCTCTCAACCTGCCTGCCCATCAGGGTCTCCCGGCATGTGTGAGACTCCCCTGCCTAGGACCTGCCCCAGATCAATAATGTCCCCATTGCAGGAGGGCTCTTGGCACCGGCTGGATGTACGTTATACTGAATTCTCTTATGACAACGTAGTCAGTACATGTGGAATATACAACCATAAGGATGTGCACTCCCGTATGACCATTGCCCCAGTCAGGAGGTATAATGCTGGCAGCCCCCCTGGAAGGCTCCCTGTGCCATATTCCACTCAGTGGCACCCACCCCACCCACACCACTCTTCTGGCTGCTGTCACCCCAAGTGCTGGTTCTCATCTGGGGACAATTGTGCCCCACCCCATTGGCAATTTGGCAATGTCTGGAGACACTGCTGGTTGTAACAGCGGGGGGCGGGTGTTCCTGGCGTCTAGAGGGTCAAGGCCAGGGATGCTGCTCAACACCACACAACGCAAAGGGCGGCCCTGGCCTGACTGGTCTGGCTTGCCATTTGAACTTAGGTATATGGCAATGTTCTTTGGTGTCTGGCTTTCTTTGCAAAACACAAGAGCTGTGAGGTTCTTATTGAGGTGTATAGTGTGCTCTTCCTTTTTCATTGCTGTGTAATATTCTGCCGTGTGACTATCTGGTGATTTGCTTATACCTTTTACTGTCGGTGGGCATTCAGGTGGTTTCCTGTATTTTGGGACTCTGATACTTGTTAGATTGTTCTCGGGGATTCTAACGCCCCACTGGCCCAGCTGGGCCCCCTCTGTCTCACAGTGTCACGAAGCGGCTGTCTCCATCTACTGCAGCATGCGCAACCAGAGCCTGTCCCACTGGGCCCTGGTCTCCGTGCTGTCCCTGCTGGCCTGCTGCCTCGTCTACTCGCTGACGGGTAAGGCCCTGACCTGTCTGGAACGCCAGGAGCTGGGTAGGGGTTGGCAGGAGAAATGGGAATAATAGCAAGTATTTATAGAGAGCTTACAGTGTGCTGGGTACAGCACTGCAAGTGTGAGTGCCCTCGCTCACACAATCCTTAACAGCCCATAGGAAAGTCCCCATTTCATAGATGAGGAGTCTGAGGCTCTGAGGGCTTCCCTGGGTTGGCCAAGATGTCCAAACTAGACGTGGCAAAGCTGTGACCCTCCCCCTGGCCTGGCTATCTCCAAAGCCCCTGCTCTGTGCCTGGCCTGCCGCTGTCTGATGGGATGACAGCAACAGCGGTCATCATTAGCGCTACATCTGGGTAGCAATTTCAAAGTGCTCTCACAGACTCGATGGATTTGGGTGCTCACAAACCTTGTGCTGAGGCAAAAGGGTCTTCAGAGGTGATGGAAGTGTGGCTCAGAGAGGGACTGTGATGAGCCCAAGGTCACACAGCATGCCCCCAGCACAGCCCAGGCCCCAGGCTCAGGCTGATTTCTGGGCACCTTCCCCCAGCCCAGGGGGTCACTCTCTGATCTGCCTGTCGGACCTCTGACTTGGGAAGCCCTTGGGCTACAGAGAATGTGTCAGGTGCCTTGGTCACCATGGTTTCAAGAAACTTGCTGGGTGACCACTCTGAGGCAGGGAAGGTACTTGGCAGCCAGTGGCCCCTGGGTTGGAAAGCCATGACCTGGTCACTGAGAGTCACCTCTAAATGGCTCAGGTCCAGGGTCAGCAGGATCAAGGGACCAAAATGAGCCATAGCTCTTAGCTAGAGATGGGTGTCTCAGGACAGGGCAGGTGATGAGGATGTGAGAGGCAGCACTGGGCGCAGGCCAGGGGCCTGGTGCACTTGCCGTGGTACCATGGTAACTAGCCATCTGTGTATTCTGGGAATTGCTGCCACCCTGGGTCTTGGCTTTCCCCATCAGGAAAATGGGTGCACTGCCAGCTGCTTTCTGTTTTTAGTCCACACCAAGGATACCTTTATTGATTTTAGAGAGAGAGAAACACCAATGTGAGAAAAAAACATCGACTGGTTGCTTCTCATATGCACCCTGACCAGGGATCGAACCTGCCACATTTTAGTGTACGGGACAGTGCTCCAACCAGCTGAGCCACCGACCAGGGCTGGCGGCTGTCTTTAGCTGTCAGAGTGGGATGGGCTGGGTGTGGAAGGCAGCAGTAGAGTTCTCAGAGTGCTGGGTGCTTCCGCCAGCACCCACTCTGTGCACAGGCCCCTGGTGAGCTGTCTGAAAGAAGGGTTAGCCATAGCTTTGCCCAGCGTGGGTTTTGAATCAGAAGAACAGAGTGTCACGTGCGTGGGCTGAGGACAGAAAAGCCTCAAGAAATGGCAGAACAGGGAGCTCTTCCAGAACGTTCTGTCATCTCCTAGGGAAGGCCTGAGGGGTGGTGGAGCCGGGTGCCGTCTGTGGGTCAGAGTGGGGAGCGGAACAGCATGTTCTAACCAGCTCTTCGGGCTCCCACCCTTCCCACCTGCCAGGCGTTTACGGTTTCCTGACCTTTGGGACGGAAGTTTCTGCTGACATCTTGATGTCCTACCCGGGGGACGACGGAGTCATCATCGTTGCCCGAGTCCTCTTCGCCGTCTCCATTGTGACCGTCTACCCCATTGTGCTCTTCCTGGGCAGGTGAGGCTGGCTGAGTGGGGCTGCCGTTGGGTGCAGGTCACTGACATTTGTCACAGTGCAGCATGTGCCAGGTGCTGTGAGCTGCTGTGTGGTGGGACGTCCGTCATCTGGGGCTCACCGAGGAGTACACAGGGGCAGATGGTTAGGTAACTGGCCCAGCACCGCCAGGTAGCAGTGCCAGGGGCCTGGTCTCCAGCCTGCCCCGGCCTCCCACCACGTGGCCCCTCGCTGTTGGCTGCCTGACTGGGGCTGACCCACCTGACGGCGGGCGTGGTGCCTGGGGAAGAAGCCCCCTGTATAGGAGGGCAGCCCTGCCAGGTGGGCAGGGCGATCGGGAGGGAACTGCTGGGTGCCCAGTGACAGGCGGGTGGCCAGGGCTGGAGCCCCGGGAGCCCATGCGTGCTGTGCTGGTGTGGCCTCCAGGTCGGTGATGCAGGATTTCTGGAGGAGGAGCTGCTGCCAGGCATGTGGGCCCCGGGCCCTGGCCGACCCCTCAGGGCTAGGGGTCCGGATGCTGCTGACCGTCCTGTGGGTCACCGTGACGCTCGCCATGGCCCTGTTCCTGCCAGACCTCAGCGAGATCATCGGCATCATCGGCGGCATCAGCTCCTTCTTCATCTTCATCTTCCCAGGTGAGGCGCCCGCCTCCAGGGCCTGCCGCCTGCTCGTCCTTCCTCACTCCTCTTAGCAGGGAACCCCTGCGTGGGGGGCCAGAGGGTCCGAGGGTGGGAGCCCCGAGGAGGCAGGGTGGCTCCCAGCCCCGTTTACTGGCCAGGCATGGGCCAGGGGGCCTTGTGGACCTTCCCTCATTGAACATCTCCGCATCCTCAATGGGTGCAGCTGAGGGCACAGCTGAGGACAGCCCCGCTACTGCCCCACCTGCAGCTAGGACACCAATGAGCAGAGGCCCCTGGGGGCGGGGGGCAGGGCGAGCGAGTAGCAGGCCTGAGTCAACCTCAGAGTGTACCCCACCTCCCACGGCTGCCACTCTTTGCAGGATTTTGTTTTATTTTTTTAAAATGTTTTCAATGACATGAAATGTAAAAATGCATTCAATTACTTGAAGTTCATATGGCTCAAAGGCACCCCATGAAATCTTCGCTCCCCCTTGTCCCTGACCTGGGAGGCAAACACCGTTTCTGACAGTTTCTTCAGACCCCTTCCCAGTGTTAGTGAATGTTGGCCTGTCCTGGGGTTACTGGGGCTGGGACTCCGAGGAGGCCAAGGCCTCACAGCCACACTTTCAGCAACTTGGAAGACCCTTCTGTCTCCAAGGAGGAGCCCTGGAGGGGCTGCTGGTGCTTAGGGGGACACCCCAGCTCCTCTGTCCGGCTCTGGGAAGTGCTTTCAAATGACAGTACTGAGGTCAGTGAGCCTTCTCATCCCCCCGTCCCAGGGCCGCCACGTTGGCCACACTCACTGGGCGTCTGACACACACATTAGGTTCGGTTCAGTGCCGTGTCCTGGGTGGTGCATCCGCTCCAGCTGTTTAGGTGGAGGACTGGTTGGGACAGGTTTGAGGGGTGGACATGCCATGGGGCTTTAGGCAGAGCTGTGTGGCTTCAAATCCCAGAAGAATTATTTTAAAAAAACAAAGGAAAGAAGAAAGAAAGGAAAAGGTCACAATGGCAGCTGCCAGCTCCTGAATTCATCCCAGGTGTCTGGCCCTGAACACCTCATCACCCAGGTGTGCAGGTGTGCTGTCACTGTCACCTGTGAGACCGGGGCTCAGAGAGGCCAGGGCTTCAGGGAGAGGTTGAGCTGGGACCCCACATCAGTCAGGCCCTTAGCCGCTGCACCATGCCACTGAGCCACAAGCAGGGCCAGCCAGGGGGCCACGGAACCAAGGCCTTGCAGGCCTCGTGGGCCCCTGGGGACTGCTGCGTGCTGGCTGGGCTCTTGCAAGCCCAGGGCTGTGCTGGGTTCCACGGTGAAGAGCCAGGGTGACCTCATCCCCTTTGCAGGTCTGTGCCTCATCTGTGCCATCAGCACCGAGCCGATAGGACCATGGGCCAGGTAGGTGTCCCCAAGTCAGGGCAGCAACTTGGGCCTTCGACGGGGCTCCGACTGAGGAGCTGGTAAATGCTGTGGGGGCCATGGAGATCCTGTCATCCTGCAGAGGAGAAGCCTGCTGGCTACAGCCTGGGGCCACGTGCATGCAGCGAGAGGGAGTCTGAGCTGGGACTTGAACCCAGGCCAGTGGCACCATGGTGCGGCTGTGTGCGCGGCCCTCCATTCAGCTCTGAGGGTTGTGGCCTGTGGTTGGAGCACCATGTGGACTTGAGGGTCTTTCTGATGAAGACCCTATTTCCAAGTAAGGTCGTATTCACAGGTCCCAGGGAGATGTGAATTTTGGGGACCACCGTTCAGCCCAGTACAGATGTTCCTAAGTTATAGCATCCATGGACTTGGGTTGCCCCTGCAGGCCGGGTCTGGTCTCCCACTTCCCAGGCCTGGTTTTCCCGACACAGCAGGCTTGGCTGGGTTCCCTTCTGGGCTGGGAAGGGATTTTCTGGAGGCCTCTAGACTGGCCTTGGGCTCACAGGGCCAGTTGTCTGGTGGTTCACCCCCTGGAGCACTGTTTGAAGTCCTGATGCTTTCCTTCTGGGCTCCCAGCTCCCAGTAGTTTTAGTGATGGGCTTGCAAGACATTGCTCATTCTAGAACTGCAGTGGGGCCTCCCGACCCACCAGCACTCCCAGGAGCGCTGCAGTCCCGGGCCACGTTCGCCTCGCTTTCCCGTTTCTCGTGGGTGGGTGCTCACTGCGCGCTGCGGCTCACTGTGCGCTGCCACTCTGGGCTGCTGCTGGGCTAGAGATCACCTTTCTGTGACAAGGGGTCCTTGTGGCCTTCGTGAATGGGGCCAGAAATACCTCTGCCAGTCCTGCCCTGATGTGGGCATCTTATCATCATCCCTCTCGTCTCACTGTCTGTCTGCACCGTCTCCTCTGGTTACATTATGAAGCTCCGGACAGGGCCATGGTGGCCCCCAGTCCAGCCACCTGTCTCCTGCGTGCTCATCCCCTTGCCACTGTGCCGGCCGTATGTGACTGAGGGCTTCCTCCTTCTCCCTTATTTTCAGGGGCTTCGTCGCTCCGACTCCAGAAGGAACATGGTTCGGAAAGGGAGTTTGGAATTAGTGTCTTCCTCCTCCCATTTCTTTGGCTTTGATGAAATAGGGGACGGGAATAGGTTATGAAACGGCAGAGGTTTTTAAATCACCTCGGGCACTTTCGTTCCTGTTGTTTCAGAAACCCATCCCCACAGGTCAGGGAGGATGCCCTGAATTTTTTTCCAAATCGGTGACTCCCTGGGCTTTAGATGACACGTTTTCTGCTTGTGCTTGGCTCATCTGTGGGAAACTCCAGGAACGTGCGTGTTGACGTGCCTTTGTTGACTCGGCAGGTGCTGCCTGGAGGTCTGGGGAGTGGTGTCCGTGCTCGTCGGCACCTTCATCTTCGGGCAGAGCACGGTGGCAGCTGTTCTGGAGCTCTTGTGAGGGGCGGTTGCACCTGCGCAGCAGGGGCCACCACGGGCCTCCCTGCTGCGGGACCAGCGTGATTCCATCATAAAGATGCTGGAGAAACCAACGCCTTTGCCTTCCTAGGCTGCTCACTGGGGCTTCTGCTGGTGCAAAGGGCTTCTGGTACAATGGCAAGCAGAATGCTAACAAATGACCACAGACTGGTGGCTTAACACAGCAGGATTTAGTCCCTCAGCGTCCTGGGGGCTAGGAGTCAGAGGTCGAGGTGTCAGCTGGCCACGCTCCCTCCGGAGGCTCTGGGGGAGGACCCTTCCTGCCTCTTCTAGCTCCTGGGGTTGCTGGCGCTCCTTGGTGCTCCTTGGCTTATAGGTACATCTCTCTAGTCTCTGCTTTTATCTCTGCATGGCCTTCCTCCCTCTGTGTCTGCGGCCACTTCCCCCTCTTCCTATAAGGACACAGTGCTTGGATTCGGGCCCAGCCTAATTCCTTATGACTTCACTTTAAGTTACTCAAGTAGGGTCTGCAAAGATCCTGTTTCCAAATAAGGTCACACTCAGGTTCCAGGGGGTATGACTTAATATTTCTGGGGTACACAATACAACTGTAGGTGCTGAGGCCCAGAGAGCCCTGCTTTGGGGTGCTGGGATCAGACACTTGGGGTGAGGGTAGTGTATAGTGGAAGAGCGCCCAGAAAGGGACTTCAGGTGGTGTCCCCTGGGGAAGGAGGGGTCGCAGGCTGGTCCTTGGCCAGGGCACAGGAAATGCAGAAATCCTGCTCATGACTTCGAGGTGCCCAAGGAGATGGGTGCCCAGATCTGGACACACAACCTAGCCTCTGGCCCACGCTCCAGTGGGGGCACCCTGCAGGCAGCCCCCTTTCCCTCCACTGGCTGGACGCAAAGAGCCTGGAAGCCAAGTGGACTGTTTGCCCTGGATTTGCTGCCGCCCCCCAAACAATGCTGCAGTGAGGGGTCACACTGGCAGTGCAGTTGAAGGCACCAAGGCCCGCCCCAGGGCTGGGCAGGGGAAGAGATGGGGGTGGGGAGAAGGGGTGTGGAGGTGGGTGGGGTACAGCTGCTCCCCCGCGTTGCTGTGCTTGTCAGCACGGACCCTGCGCAGGCCTGGGGACGTCCTGGGTATCGCTGGATTCAGGCCTCTCTCGGGACGGGTGGCATTCCAGGACTCCTCCCTGCGGGCAGGTTCTTTGTGTTACGTTGTGTGACATGTATGTGGCCGTGTGAGGATGGTGGCGATAGAACCATATTCTGTTTTCCTTTCTCTGCTTGTCCACGTGCATTATTTTTTTTGAGCTATAATTCACATACCAAAGAAATCATCCTTTTAAAGGATATAGTCCAGTAGGTGTTAGTCAATGCACAGAGATGTGGAGCCGTCCCCGGTACCTAATTCCAGAATCTCGGCCCCAAGCAGCCTCGCACCCATTCGCAGTCACTCCCCACCCCCTGCCACCCACGGATCTGCCGCTGTCTCCATGAGCTGCCTCTTCTGGATGTCTCCTGTACATGGACACATACGCCACGTGCCCTTTTCATTCGGCTTCTCTGACTTAGCATGTTTTCAAACCTGTCCATTTTACAGGCAAGGCAACTGAGGCTCGGGAAAATCAAGGCCACCTGTTCCAAGAGGTACAGAGTTAGAGACGGGACCGATTTGGGGTTACATTTCCTCGTCTGTCTCCCTTCCACCTCACACTCCACTCTTCGGGTGGCCAAGGGGGTGGGAACTGGTGTGCCTGGGCCCCAGGGCAGGGAGGTACCCCTGCTCTCCTCCACCCTGGCTGCTGGTGGAGGCGAGAGGCTGTGGCTGCAGGCGTGGACTCTGACCCAGTGAGGGGGACGAGGGACCCTGTGCCCAGGCCCACACTGTGTTCGATGGCCACGGCATCTTTCCAGACAGGGATATGTGTTGGGGCAGAATTGCTTCACCGGAGCACTTACCACCCCAGCGCCGGCAGTGAAGATGGACAGTCATTTACTAGTTGTGCCCTGGGTGCTCCCTGAAGGCGCCCTGGCGCTGTCCGGGGAGGCTGGGACTGTGCATGGCCGTTCACAGGGAGCCAGAGAGAAGAACGAAGCACTATGGGGAAGGGTTGTGCCAGAGAAGCCGGCGGTGTGCGAACTGGCTTTGGAGTTGGACTACTGGCGTGGAACTCTGGCTCTACTGTTTGCTACCTGAAGATTTGAGAAGTTTACAAATTCTTCCAAGAATCCGTTTTTCTACCAGCAAACTGGAGCAGGCTTATTGTGTATGATGTGATGTGGTCTCCCTGGGAGAATTAAAGGTGGTAATGTATCTACAGCAACTAGCGGGGGAGCCAAACAATAGATCTATTTCCAGAAAACCTAGGTTGACATTAGCAAGTAAACACTGAGCTTCCTGGCAGCCAAGGAAAGCAGGGACATATGCGGACACTAATTCTCACCCCTAATCAGCACACCAGGAAGGAAGTGGGTGGCACGAAATGCTAAAAAGCCATGAGGTGGTGTTCTTTAAGGGGTGACAAATATCACCACTGGGGACAGCAGTTTCCATCTCCTTATGTGACAGGTACAGATGTGATCCTCATAGGACTGAGCCTCAAATCAACCATCATAATGCAAAACATAATGCAGCCAAAGCAGTGCCGCTGGGATGTCACCGCAGACGTCCGACCTACTAAAGGAAGGTCTGCACTCTGCCTTGGATGGCCCTGCTCCAGTACTAACTGGTTCCCTCAAGTTTTCGACAGCCACAAGATGAATGAAGGGCTGACGTGCATCCTTGGACTTCAAGCACTGGCTCTGGGTCTGGAAGGTCTGGGTCTGCAGAGCCCACTCTGCCTGCCACTTACCCGCTTAGCCAGGCCTGTCCCCCTCTGAACAGCCCTCTGTCCTCAGGATGCTACGGCTTTCCTTTGCCTGGGCACCCTTCCTCAGTCCTAGGTGAGTGGCCACCCTCTTCCTTCTTCTTCTGGGACGTTGGCCTAGGTCCTCTTCATTCTCCTATAATGCAATGCTGAGGACAGCCCCTCCCTCCCAGGGTGGCCGAGAGGAGGAGCTGAGATGTACCTGCAAAGCCCGCGGCGCAGAGCCTGGCCTGGCACCAGGTCCTGGTCAATGGTGACAGTGGTGTTTGAACGGAGAGGCCTAAACGTCCCATTTAACGAACGTGAACGTGGCTGAGTGACATCTTGTTGTCTTCAGTGACTTGTGCTGCTCTGAGCAGCATGCGCTGCAGGGGCCCCCAAGTTTCCTGAAGAAGCCCCTTTCCACTGGCTCAGGTGCCCCCAGGTAACTGTGCAGGGACACCAGCCCAGGGGGCTGCTGGCCCCCAGTGCCTCCTCTCACACTGGACTGCCCTGCACGCCTCCCAAGGGAGGTTTGGGCTTTGACCTGGACGTGGCAGAGGTGTGGACCAGCCCCTGGATGCAGGTGGTCAACTCCTCTGTTCAGGCAGGTGAGTTGAGACTTCTGTTGTTGTTCATTGAGATGAAATTATGTAACGTCAGTGTGCCGTTCGGTGGCATTTAGCACATTCACAGTGCTGTGTGACCCCCACCTCCACCTGGTCCCAAAACATTCTCATCGCCCCCGAGAAACTGCACACCCGTCGGCAGTTACTCCCTCCTTTCTCTTCTGCCAGCCCCTGGCGACCGAGAATCTTTGTGTCTGTCACTCGAACTATTCTGGACTCTTTGTATGAATGCAATCATACACATGTGGTCCACTGTGTCCGGCTTCTTTCACTCAGAACCACATGTCCAAGGCTCACCCATGTCATCGCGTGTGTCAGAGCTCCGTTCCTTTGTACGGCTGAGTCACATTCCATTGTGTGGACAGAGCACATTGTGTTTGTCCATCAGCTGGTGGACATTTGGGTTGTTCCTGTCTTTGGCCACTGGGGATAGTGCTGCTATGAACGTCGGCACATTTGCTTCAACGAGTCTTTTCAATTCTTTTGGACTTAGTACACACAGACGTACCCAGGAGTGGACTTGCTGAGTCACGCAGTAATTCTGCCTTTCACTGTCTGAGGACGCACATGCATTGGGATGTCAGTGCATCAGTCTGCAGCTGTTTTTCCCCCACGTATCTATGCTGTGTGCCACAGTGGTTAGGGCACAGGCTTGGGGGCACATAGCTCTGGGTCTGGATGTGTGGCGCCACTTGTGTGTGACCCCTGGTGAGTGACTTGCCCTGTGTCTCCACTTCCCTACCTGTTGATCACAGGATGGCACAGGTGGCACTGAGGGAGACAGCACCTTCCGAGTGCCTGGCCCCATGCCCGGCTCCATAGTGTAAATTAAGCAGTCATGCTCGTACCTTTTAGGGTTGAAATTTGTTCTCTTCAGAGCCTGTTTCCACCCACTCAGAATCAAGGCGGCTCTAAGTTGCCTGTGGGCTGCGATCGCAGATGCGGCAGCGGGGGCAGGCGGGTGTGCTGTGTTGCAGGAGTGCACCCTGCCCAGCTGCTGGTGCTCCTCAGTGGCACCCCAGAGCCTCAGCCTCTGTGAACAGTACTTTTGAAAGAGCTGAGACAATTGGGACCGCACCAGCTTCAGGGTAGGGGGGTGGGGGCGGCCACGCTTATGTGCTGATGCCTCCAGCAGGACCCAGGCAAGTGCTGTTCTCAGTTGCTGACCGTCAAAAGTAGGGGTCTCCTCCCCACTTTACAGACAAGGAAGGGAGGCCCTGAGAGGCTGGGTACAAGGGAAGTTGGCTCAGAGATGCACCGCTGGGACTTGAGTCTGCCTTTTACTCTTCTCAGAAGCCTGCGTTGTTTCACTGGTTTTGTGTGAGCGGCCAGCATGAAGCCTGGTAAGGAGGTGGCTGGGAGTGGCGGGACCCCAGGCAGGAAGGACCTGCCTCAGAGGGCAGGGTGGGCCAGGTTGCAGGCAGCCAGAGGGGGCAGGGCAGGGTGGGCAGAGACCTTGCCCAATGTGATGGCTTTAGTAACAACCACATTTCCCAGGCTGGCTGCTCCAGGCTCAGAGCAGGTGGGAAACCCACATCCGTGGCCCTGCCCCCCTGCACAGGGCTCCCGCTGTGCCCGGCGCACTGCTGCCCGCCACCTTCCTTCCTCCTCCCCAGGCCTGTGCTGCTCTTAGTACCTGCCCGCACCCGCTCCCTCTCCAGCCCGCCTTACGGGAGGGACCCATGGCTCTCGCCTTTGTCCCTTGGGATTTTTGTGTGACATTCTTCCTGCTCATCGAGACAGGGAGACAGAAGCGGGGATGTCACAAAGGTTCCAGAACAGGATTTAAACATTATTTCGGGGCTGGGGTCTTGGTGTCCTCTCTGGTGGGAAGAGCTCACGGACAGGTGTGTGAGGAGGAGGAGCTGTGCCCAGACTCCTGGGAGGTGAGCTCTGCGACCTTGACCTGTCCTTCCTGATACGAGTATCTTTGTTTACCTGGGGCCCTTGGGCCAACTGGGACCAGCCCAACCTTCAGAGGGGCTGGAGGTCAAGGTCAGCCATGTCTGCATGACCAACTGCAATGAAAACTCTCCATCAAGGCTCTGGTGAGCACCCCTGGTGTGCGATGCTCCATGCATCGTGTCACCCATTACTACCTGGAGAAAGGGCTGCCTCTGTAGCACTCCACTGGGAGGGGACAGCTCCAGGCTGCAAACGGGCGCCTCGGGGACCCAACCCACATCACGGCCCACCTCTTCTCCCCTCTGCTGACTTCGGTCTGCACCCTTCTGCTGCCATCATCTGTGACCATGCGTACGGTGGCCTTGATGAGTCCTGTGAGTCCTTCTAGTGGGTTATTGAAACTGAGGATGGTCTTGGGGACTCTGAACTTTGAAATAGGCGCAAAGGTATTTGTTAAAATATGTACCTCCTGGTTATCACCTCCACTTTACAGTGAAGAAAGCTGAGGCTCTGGTGACCTGGTCCAGGTTTCATGGCTAACTGGGGGCCCAGGGCCCCTGCACCCCGACGGCCTCACTCCCCCAGCGGTCAGCACCTGGGACGTGGGAAGCAAACACACGGCGTGCGGTCGTTCCCAACCGGAGTTTATTTGGCGCTTGTCGCAGTGGCAGCGGTGTGCCTAGCACGGCACTGGCTACGTGGGCTCTGCTGCCGCGGGGGACTCGGCACAGGCCTCGGTTGGGCACTACGGGGTCTTGGCTCCTATCAGGGAGAGGAAGGTCAACAGGAGTGGGAGAGATGGAGGGAGAGGCGGGGGCTGCAGAGGGGGTGAGTCTTGCTGAGGCCAGAGGAGGCCCGTGTGGTGGGGGGCTGGGCATGCGTGGCCGTTTGGTTGGGGCGAGGGGCGAGGGTGCTGGCTCCAGGAAGCCTCCCCATCCCCTCGGGCTCTGGCTTCAGCAGGGCCCCAGCCGCTCACACAGCGCGGGTGGGGGACACTGGGGAAAGGGTGACCCACACATGGGAAGGGGAAAGGGGTTCGCCTTCACGTCAAACAGTGGGAAAATACATTCTTGTTTGGAAGTATATTGAAAAGACAGCACATGTACCAAAGTCTCTAGAAAAGACGGGACGTCCTTTAGAAGAAGGGAGGGCAGGGTGCCAGGCTCATCCACAGGGCGTGTGTTGGGGCCAGTCAGTCTCGGCCCACGGTGCACCAGGCAGCTAGTGACAGGGCAGGAGAGAGAGAACGTTGTTGGGGACCCGCAGCACCTCCCCCTCATCCCATAGGGCTGCACTGAGGGGCAGGGCACCCCTCCCTTCCCCAAGCCTTGCTTGGACCGGGGCTCAGGGCGGGAGAGCGGCACCTGCACCCACACCTCTGCGCCAGCCAGGCCCACTGTGTGGTGCCGGCTGGGCCGCCCGCCAGTGCAGGGGAGGCTGCATGGAGGAAGGCTTTGGGCTCTTTCGGGGGGGTGGGGTGCAAAGGTGCTTGCTGGCTGGCTTGGTGGCACACCCCATGCAGGTGGAGGTGACGTTGGTTGGGCTGCCCTGGCCTGGGGGCCACTTTCTGAGCCCCTGGCCCAGATGCACCACATTGAGCTAAGGGCCCCTCTTGGTGCTCTGGGCCTTCGGTCTCGTCTGAGGCCGTTTCTGCCGCCTCTCCTTTTGTTCTGAGGTTGTAGGGCCAAGTTACGTCTCCCACCCCATCCTTCCACTTTGGGGCTTTGGGGGGTGGCTGGCACCCCTGTTCCTGGCCTCCTCCCCTCTCGGACCCTCTCTGCACACTGGCACTGACGTTGAGCACTCCCTTGTGGACTCTGATTCCTGGCAGCTAAGGGAGCAGCATAAAGGGTCATTGGAAGATTCGGGCCTTGGCCTTCCCCCAGCTCAGCATCGGGGCCTGGTGATGGCCACTGAGCCTGTGGGAACCAGGGACTGGCGGCATTGGCACTGCTGGTCCAGGCCCCTCCCCACCTGCCCTCTACCTGGCACCGAGATCCTGGAGAGGGCCTCAGGCTGGCTCAGCGTGTCCACCTTGACGTGCCGGAAGGCCTTGCACACGGGGCTCTGCAGGTGCCTGCAACGCAGGGGGCGCCGGTGAGCCCTTGGGGCTGGGCAGGGGAGCCTCTGGGACAGGCTCTGGGGCTGCGGTCCAGTTCTAATCCCGGCTCTGCCAGGGATGGGGGCCTAAACCCCAGTCAGCCGATGTCAGGGTTCAGAGCCGTCATGTGAAGGGAAGATGGGGAGGCCGATCTGGGCCCCCTCCGAGCGCACGGCAGGTTTGGGGGAAGAAGAGCTTGTTTCTTGCCTCCCTGTTTGTGTCTTCCATGGGATGAGTTTTCTGGGTTTTATCCTCTGGGGCAGCAGTTTTCAAACAGGAATGGCCTTGGCCTCAGATCCCAGGGCCAGGAACCTGGATTCGGAGCCCAGCTGAGTGGGAGGAGGGAAGGTGCGCCCCAGGCTGAGAAGCGCTTCCTCCCACTGGCCCAGGGGCCCGCTTTGGCCAATGAGGCCAGCATTCTGGGTCACGGATGCTGCTGGAACCTGGGCTCAGTACTCCCCTCCCCTCTCTTCCCCCTTCATCCCCTCCCACACTGTCTGGGGCAAGGGCTGGGGAGCCGGGCAGCCCCACCTCCCCGTGCCTCCCATCACTCAACCAACCGCTGCAGGCCTGGGGCCCGCGGACACGGCGGTGCGTACCTCTTCCACTCCTCCTCGGTCTCCCAGAACTCGTAGACCACGAAGGTGAAGCCGTCTGCCAGCCTCCCGGCGGCAATGCTGCACGGGGAGAGGAGAGGCAGGATCAGCGGACTACCCTGTGCCGCCCGGGGCTGCCCCCGAACTGTGAGCCTGGCAGAGGCTGGGGCACCCGGGGCTGTTCCAGGACAGGCAACCAGTTTGTCGCCAGCCCAAGGCCGTGACCCACACGCTGCTGCCTTTCTGTTGGAAATGACCCACAGCCTCCCAGACCAGCCACAGAATCCGATCGGTTCAGCATGTACCCCACTGCCCGGAGCAAGGCCTGGCCCCAGATCGTGGCCAATACGTGTTTGTTGAATGAATTATAATGAAATGTCATTTTAAAGGTCTAATATTCATTTTCTTCTGTCATGATCGCCTTCACAACTGTCACTTCATTGAATCCTTGAAACAATCCAGGGGGTCAGAATTGGCTCACTGAGGCTGGGGGAGGGCCGTGCCCTGGGTGGGTGGTCCTGCAGGTCCCAGGTCACTCCTGTGTCACCTGTGTGACACTGACAGGCCACTCGCCTTGATTTAAACAGGACTGGTGCTACCTGGACCTCGAGACAAGGCAAGGTGGTGCTTCCAAGAATGGGGCAGGCCTGGGGGGACTGAGGGCTGACCTCCAAGAGTAGGTCATCTGTAACACTGCCCCTCTGGCCGCTCGCCCACTCGCCCGGCTGCTCGGCTGCTCCTCTTTCACGAGCTCAGCAGAACAGAGCCCCCGAGCCTTGCTTGGGGGGAGAGCCCTGCCGTGGGTGGGGGCTGCTGTGTGATTACAGGCAATTCCAGGTTTTGCCAGCAGGATAGAAGCGGGGAAACAAGGCTGCTAATAGCGTCATTAGTTCATTACGCTCTAGCTGAAATTACAGGCAGAGCTGTGGGCTGGTAATTCAATGAGAGGACGGGGGACCGCGGACGCGAGCCGCCCACTGATCAGATAGAGCCACGGCCCTTTGCCAGAGTCAGAAGGGGCTGCTCAGGGGCCCTTCTCTCCGCGACAGACAAAGGTCATTGGAGCAATTTGGGGCCTCTAAGTGTGGTAACTGCAGAAGATAAAAGCCATCCTGGTGATTGAATTTGCTCAGCTGATGAGGCACTGACTTTTTTTTCTTTTTTGGTGGCGGGTGCCTCTGGGTGGGAAGGAAGACACAGTAGGCAGGCATGGGGTAGAGGGAGGACATACTATGAGGCCCTACTGTGTGCTCTTGCGTGCAGAGGAGGGGTGGCAAGGCCCCTCACCACTCTACCCCACCCAGCCTGGCCCTCCCTCCCCCACGGTGTTTACGCCACCAGCCACTGTGGCTTTCGGTGCCATCTGCACGCCCACCACTCCCCGGCCACTCTCTCCCAGGACCTCCGCACTCCTGTGTCTGCGCCCTGCCTGGCACTGCTAATTTAACGTGGCCCCAACTCCTGTGTGGCCTGTGTGACTCCTGCGCACCAACGCGCCCGACCGTCCCGATTCCTAGGTCAGTGTGCGGCACCAGCTTCTGTCCGGTTTCCCAAGCCAGGGCAGCTCAGATTCCAGATGCCTTGTCTCCTCCTCCCACACCCCTTCTCCAGCCACCAGCAAGTCCAGTCAGATACACACTCCAAGACAGATCTCAGCTCTAACCACGTCTCGCCGAGGGCGGGCCCCTCCCCAGGTGGCAGCAGGGCCTCTCCCTCCCTGGCCACTCCACTGTGCCCCGCTGCCACCCAGCCCTCCTGCACACAGAGGAGACCAGACCACGTCTCCCTCCTGCCTACGGCATCTGCAGTAGGGTCCACTGCACTCCGAACAAGCAGGGCAGAGGCGAGTGGGTCCTGCCTGCCAGCCCCGGTGTCACCCCTGTCCCGCCCCGACTGCCCTTACTCAGATTCTGTGGTCTGGGTCCTCAGGGCCCAGTGATAGGCAGCCTCTTCCCTCCCCACAGCCCCCTCCTTCCCTGGAAGGGCCCTGCTTCGGGGCCTCCCCAGCACCTACCACCCTTCAGAATCATCTCTTCATCTGCTCCTCTTCCACCGCCTACAATAAAGCTCCGGCAAGAGCAGCCACCTGATTCACAGCTGCATCCGCAGGGCCCCGCCCCCAGGGAGACGGTGAAGGCACACGAGCTCTCAAGGTGGAAAAAGCAAACTGGAGAGCGAATTGAGGCAGAGAACGGCACAGAGGCCATGGCTACTGCCCTGAGCAGGGACGGGAGGGGAGAGGGTCTAGCAGCCGGAGCCTACAGCCCTTGGAGACCACCCTCAGTGAGGGTGAGGGCTGTCATCTTTTGTGACCCAATCTGGTGGGGCCAGGGCCACCTGGTTCAGCTTTTCCAAGAAGCAGTGCAGGCCTCATTAGCTGGGACTGGAAGGTGACACACTGAGGGGTGGCCGCACAGTGAGATCCGCAGCTGACACTGAGCAAGCTCTGCGCTCCAGGCCCTGGCCTAGGCCCTTCACACCTGGTCTTCCGTTCGCGGCTCCAGCAACCCCTGGGAGGAGGTCCAGCCAGTGGTCCCACTCCACAGGTGGGCCCGCTGAGATGACCTCACTCGCCACGTTTGCTCAGTGGAGAAGAGCCTGCCCTAGGACTTGAACCCCGCTTTCCTAACCACCCTTGCTAGGCGCTTCCCTGGGGTACAGGTTGTCCTCAGGGGTGGTCCTGCCCTGTCCACCACCCCCAGGCTGAGTTCCTGACCACCACCCAGCCCCACAACTACTCACTGGAAGCAGTTCCTGGCTCCAGCAGTGCCTCGCAGGTACTGGCGCAGGGAGTCCAGGAATTCACTCAGCTGCTCGGGGCACACGGCCATCTCCTGCCTGACCAGCTGCAGATGCTGTGGGGCCATGGGGGTTGGCGGGGTGAGCCCTTGCCAGCTCCCTGACGGCACCCTCCCCCGCACAACCCCTACCTCGTGGGTAGAGCCCAAGACCCAGCCTCCCTGGACCTCCCACCAGAGAAAACACGACAATTTGGTCAAAATAAATAAAAGCCCGTGTGCACACATTTTTCATTCTTACACACGAACATTGGCTAAAAAGAATAAGACCTTAAAAAGGCAAATGTAGGTAGTAGCCCCACAAATGCTGAAAAATGGACAAGGGTGTTTAAAGAGGCTCTGTGGGGTCCAGAGCTGCCTGCAAGGCGTCGGGTCTGAGACGTGACAAAGCCAGTGACCAGGGAAGCTCATTTCTGAGTGAATGCACGCTGTGCTGTCAGCGTCTTGTTGATCACTCTGTTCCAGGCCAGCCTTTTTTCGATCAAAGCCCTGGTGTCTCAAAGAACACCATGGAAGGGGAGGGTGACCAAGTGCTGGGGCTCCATCTCCCCACATGGTGGTCCCTGGGGGTGGGGTGGCATGGCCATCGAGCCATCTGAATCTTGAGTCCTGGGCTCAGGCAGGGACGGGGCCACAGGAGGAGAAGCGAGGCCTCAGGGGAGGGGCCCTCACCGTGCTGGTGCCTTCTTCATCCGAGAGGCGCTGCTGCAGGTCAAACCAGAGGGTCTGGAAGAACAAAGCAGGAAGCGATGCTGGACACAAAGGCCACCTCCACCCGAGAGGCCTCCAGGACTACCACAACGACGGCAGAGCACCCCGGGCCAGCACAGAGCTCCAGCCCATCTGCGCCAAGGTCCTAGGGAGTTCCCCAGGCTAGAGGGAGCTCCCCAGGGACCAAGCCTCGCTGGACAGGGCTCAGCCCACCCTGTGTGCGCAGTGCTGGCTCAGAGGGCACCTGGGAAGCCAGGCTGGGAGGCCAACCATATCTGAAGTGGTGGGGACCCCTTCTGGCCCTGGCATCTGGGGACACTGGGAGCCAGAGAGACCAAGCGGACCTACTGCAGAAGCCATGAAGGAAGCTCCATGTTTCGGGGGGCAGGTGGCAGGCAGGTCTGGAGAGATGCAGCAATTGGGACACTAGAGTCCTGAATCCAGGATGCTGGTCCTTCACTGTAACTGTCGGCAACGTCACTGCAAGTCCACATCAACTTACAAATCACTTCAGTCTCAACCCCTGTGCCCCTTAAATCTAACAGTCTGAACGGGGTGTCTGTTTTCCCTGGCCTTCTACAGGTCCTGGGCTAAATGCTTTACCAATACACCTTAGTTAACTTTCCAGACTCCCTGAGGTCGGTGTGCCCCACTGTAAGCTCGAGGGAGCAGGGACCCTTGCAAGATGTTTATGACCACAGGCTGGTGTCCAGAACAGGGCCCAGGATCTCATGAATGCTCAGTGGGCACTACTTCAGCAGGGAAACCGAGGTTCCAAAGGCCACAAAGGGAGCCTGGGTTTCACCCGGGGGCTTCTCTCCTCCTGACACAGAATCCTGGTTCTCCCCACTATAACGTGGAGACTCCCCCAATAAATGCCACCTCCGTGCCCAGCCCTGTCTGTCTTTCCCGAGGACAGCCTGGGTCTCTGCTGCAATCATGCACCCAGGTCTTTCTGCTCCCACAGACCATGTGTGTGGCCCACCGACTCGTTTTTAAGGAAAACAGCCTGGCAGATGTATTGGCCTGTGACCTGTGCAGTCACCCCCTTAAATTTCTTAATAATGTTTGAACAAGGGGCCCTGCGTGCTCATTTTGCACTAGACCCTGTAAATTACACAGCTGGTACACCTGCTTTGTAGGTAAAGAGCCAAGGTGTGTTTGCCAGAGGCAAGTCTGTTACCATTGTTTTACAACCCTGTAGGTAGTCTCCTAGAGAGCAGGGGTTGTAACTGGGTCCCTTGGCTTCTTCTGGCTGGCAGGGCCATAGGAGGATGAGGATGAGGGGAAGATGGGGGAGTCACAATGGTACCCTGGTACCTGCTAGCAGCCTGGCGACCCCAGATCTCCGTCCTCCAGCCCCAGGCGGAGCCAGGAATGGCTCAGGTTGGCCTGTGGGGGGCGGGGCCCGGAGCCAGTCCAGCATTGGGCCAATCAGAGGCTGGCGAGTAGGGCCCCGCCCCATCTCCAGGACGCCCAGGTGCTCACAGTTGCCAGCCAGCCGGTTGTTAAGGCGACCAGGGCGCTAAAAATAAGCTTCAAAGAGCCTCCCTCTGCAGGCTCCGGTGGAGTTGTTATGACAACCGGGCCATCGGGTCCACGAACTGCTCCACCCAGCAGCGGCTCTCAGAAGGGGTGATCCCACCTTGGCCTCAGCCCTGCAGGAGGGATCACTGCCACTTCCCTCCAAGTCTCCCCCTCTCCCCAACCGATCAAATACCTCAGAACCAACCCCCAAACCCATCAAAGTACTTTTTTTTTTTTGCCCTTTTGCAAAAGATGTATGAAATTGAGAAAAGTCAGAGAAATGTAAAATTGCTGCAACTCAGGGCTTGGAGATACTTGGTTTATGTAGGTATACAAATATGGTACACACATCTGTATAGTTTTTGGCACCAGAATGTCTAATAATAATTGTTAACACTGCTAATGTTAAATGCTAACTTCACAGCAGGCTCTGTGCTAAGCCATTACGACATTATTTACTCCTCACAACAACCCTGGGAACAGTAATAGTCCTTGTTTTCCCCTCTATTGTTAACAGGAAGCATCTGAGGCTAAGAGAGGGTAAGTCACTGGCTCAAGGTCACACAGCTGTTAAGTGGTATGGCCAGGATTCAAAGAGTGCAGTCCGATGCCTAAGTCTGTTTGGAAACTTTAAGGCAACCAGTTTTCTTTATTCCAAGAAATCATCACTGTTATGGGCTGAGTTGTGTTTTCCCCCAACTGAAGTACCAAGCCCCCATACCCCAGAATATGACTACATTTGGAGATATGGCCTTTGAAGAAGTATTTAAATTAAAATGAAGTCACAGGGGCGGGCCCTAATCCCATTTGCCTGGTGGCCTTATCAGAAGAGATTAGGACACAGACATGGAAGGAACACCGGGTGAGGACACAGGGAGCAGACAGCTGTCTGCAAGCCACGGTGGGAGGGCTCAGAAGGAACCAGCCCCGCCCACACCCTGATCTCAGACTGCCAGCCTGGAGCTGTGAGGGAATGGATGTTGATGAAGCCCTGGCCTGTGTACGGTTAAGTGGTGGGTAAGTGGTGATGGCAGCCCTGGGAAACGGACACGGCCTTACTGTGGGTACCTACTGCACGAGCTGTCACAGATAACATGATTCTGTACAGGCTGGGTCATTGTCTATTACCTGTAGACATGCCATTTCGTATTTCAAAGGCTGCAGGCTGCTGGTCACTCAGGCTGTGACTCATCCTTCCTGGATGTCACCATCCCTCCTCACTACCATGCCGTGTCTTAGCTGTCCTGGCCCAGGCCCCTTCCAGCCCCTTCAAGCTCTGTCCCCTTGCCTCCCACAATCTTGCTGGCTACCATCTGCTCCTCGAGACCCCCTCCCTGGCCGCCCGTCCATCTCTCCAGGGCCCCATCGTCCCCTAGGCAGCTCTCCTTGAGCCTGTACAAGGGACGTAGTTCCGGGGTCTGTCCGTGTCATACCCTTTCCCACACCCCACTGGGTGATGCCTTTCCAAGGCTCCCTGACTTCTGTCCCAAACTCCTGGCCTATCAGCCCTCCCTGGGGGCTGGGACTGTGGAGAGGCGGAGGTGGGGGTGAGCAACCCTACCTTGGTCTCCAGCCGTCCTATCAGCTCTGCCAGACGGCTGATCTGGGCTTCTAGGCCCTCCTCCTTGGGCTCCGAGGTGACTGGAAAAGAGGAACAGAGACCTTGATGTCGGAGGGGCCCAGGCCTCTGGGATGGGAGCTCTCGGCCTCCCTGGGGGCTGAGCCCTGCCCTCTCCCTCCCAGTCGTGGTCCCACTTGAAGGCCCAGGTCCCACGTGGGCCATTGTCAGAATTCCCCCCAGGACCCCCACCCAGTGCCCCCCGAGCCTGGGCCACCATGAACTCTTACCAGAAGGCGGGCTCTTCTCTTGTCCCGTGGCCATGAGCTTGCGGCCGGGGGCACAGGGGGCAGTGGGGCTCCCGTGCCAGGTCTGCACCACGCCAGGGCCGGGCTTGCTGTGGTTCTGGCTGCAGTGGGAGCGGGAGGCACACACACACCGTGAGGGAGGCCGTAGCGCCCTGCCCTCTCTGTGCAGCTCTGACCGACATTAAGCACCCACTGTGCGCTGAAATGTGCTCTGTTTACTCCATGGAGCCCATCCCTGTGAAGGCCGAGACCATGCAGCCAAGTGGGGCAGGGCAGGATAGGGACTCAGCCCATGCCCCATTCCAGGGAGGTTCGGTTCCAGGCCCTTGCCCCCGCCGAATGGCTCACAGCAGCCGGACCCTGGCTGCCTCACTAGGAGTCCATTCAGTGCCCTGGGGGGTGGGGGGGGGGAAGGCGGGGGCTGGGTTTGCACCCTTTCGAAAAAAGGAAGCCTAAAGACAGGGTCCAGAGTAGGCACGTGATGAGACAACAAAACCTGTGATTCTGACCTCAGCCAGGCCCTAGAGAGAAGGGCCGGGCCTGATGGCCTGACCCCACCCCCACCCCGCGCACTGCTGTGCCCACACGTGCACGGCCCCCAACAGGCACACTCAGCTCACCGAGCACTGTGCCTGGCACGACAGCAGGGGCTCAGCCAATGCTCAGTGAATGTCTGAACACCCCCGTGCAAAGAGATGCTGGAAAACTGAGCATAAACATACAAATACGCACTGACATGCGTGTCTACGTACAACACACAAACACTCCAATGTGCACGGCCCCGCCCTCTTCCACTTCCGGGCAGCGCTGCCTTGTGCATTCTGGAATCTGTGAACCCGAGAGCTCACGAGTTTCCCCGTGCAGAGGGCAAGCCCAGCTGCCCCACAGTACCAGGAGGACGTGGAGTCTTTGAGGTGTCCATCCCGGCGGCTCTACTACAAACCAGCAGCAAATTAAATGTGACCATGACCGGGGGCAGTGGGAGTCCCTGGGGCGGCGGGGTTTGATCCACCACTTGTGCCCGGAACATAGCACCCTCAGGGCCTGGAAACAGGGCCTGGCCTAAGGGGACCTGCAGCCCAGGGGAGCCAAAACAGCTGAGATTTGGGGTGGCCTCCCTCTGCCACCAGCCTCCCTAAGTCAGGTCCCAGTGTGGGGGCGGACATGCAATAGAATTAGGAAAGGATAGGAAATCAGCTGCGAAAATCCTGCAGCCATCTTATCTGTTCTACCGCAGGATAAAAATGGCAAGTTTTGAATCAGGATAGTGACAAAAAAGGAAGGCAATCTCTGTCAGCTTCCAGAGCTGTGGCGAACTTTGGGGACCCTCGGAATCACAAGACCTATCACGGATGCAGAGCTCTGGGCTCTGCCCCCAGGGATCCAATCCAGGCAGCACAGCTGGGGGCCCCAGGGATCTGCCTTTCCCATTTCCCAGGGGACTGGGCTGCAGGCGCTCAGAACAGTATCATCCAGCACTTTGCAGCCACATCTGACTACGGCCAAGCCCCTCCCACATCTGACTGCGACCAAGCCCCTCAGCTACTGAAAACACCCCCCCACCCCCACCCCACAGCAACCGGCACCCTGCCATGCCCGGCCTCTGCCTGGGAAACCTGCAGCCACACACAGAAACTCAAACATCAGTAATGCTTGACCCACACACCTGGCTCTTGCTCCTGTCTATCTTTATTCCCCCCTTATGCCAGGCACATCAGGTGTTCTGGAAAGAACAGGCGGGGAGAAGTTGGTCTCATCTCGGGACAGTAAATGCGAGGGCTCGTGGCCCCCCAGAGCTGGCACTGCTGAGCCACAATCATCCCTGCCTAGACACAAGGCTCGCCTCCGCCACCGTGTTCCAGGCAGAGGGGGGACCCCAGGAGCTGTCCCGTGGCTTCCAGGGCACGCAGACAAGGCCTTAGCACTAAATAACACTGAGAAAACCGCTCCACGTCACTTCTCTTCAGCCCTCTGAGAAGGTCTGACTTGCTGCTGATCTGCCCGAAACGCTGAGGTCCGGGCCCCCGTCTCTGTCCGACAAAGAGGGAGCGGCCTCAGGACGCCCGCGGACAGCAGGTGCCGAGTTTTACAGTGACTTCGTCCACGGCCCGTGATGCTTGTTTTCTAGTTGTGGTAACCACATACCGTTTCCAAAATTCATTGCCAGTTTTCAAAAATAAGTCACGTAACAGAATAGTCAAGTAAAAATAATGTGCGTGGTGTGGGGTTGTGGCAAACTGATTAGCGTCTAGGAAATAGCAGTAACTGTACATACTCGTTGTAGGTCATGCTGCCTGCACCCTGGGCACCGCCTGCACCCCAGGTACCTTGTTCGGTCCTCACGGGCACTGAGGAGGTAGGTACAGAACCGTCTCCATTTCACAGGTGGAGGCACAGCAAGTGCAGCAGCTTGCCCACGGCCACCCAGCTGTGTTTCTCAGGCACAGAGACACCCCTGCCCCAAGCAGTAGGTTGGCACGTGTATGTGCATGGCATGCCCCCCGAGTGACCCTGCGAGGTCCCCTGGACGCACCGGATCTGGCTTGTCTGCTCTTCAATGGCCTCCACGGCACTCTCCACGGAGCTCAGCAGCGACTGGATCTGATTGGCTGTCTCCTTCAGGAGGAAGCGGGTCACGAACTGATCCACGTTGCTCCCACCCTCGTACACCTGTGGCGGGGGAAGAAGGAACACAGGGGGTGGTGAAAGGGCTGGGAAGGAAACTTGGGTATGGGGTTGGACAGAGTTGGGGGAAGACCCGAGGTCTGTGGGAAGCGGGGCCCAACCCGCTATTTCCCATGGACTTAGGGACCAAGGTCTGAATGCTGGCTTCACCGATTACTGGCTCGGGGACTTCTATGGCCAGACCAGCAGTCACTGCAGTGTCCACCTTTCAAAGTCACAGTGAGGATTAAATGGCAAAATACACATACATGTAAAATGCTCAGCACAGGGCCTGTCATGTGGCAAATGAACAAACAGCCGCTGCTGTGATAAAGATGACGGTGGTAACGACAGTAAAGATGGTGACGGGGTGACAGTGTAGACAGTGACACGACGGAAGGGGTGGTGACGTTAATGAAGACGGTGGTGGTCGCCGTGGTTATGATGAAGTGATGACGATGGTGGTGGGGAGGGGGATCAGTGGGGCTGCTCCTGAGGTGGCTGTGAACGGGGTAAAGTATTTGGGGAGAATTCACAACCTCCTCCTCCTGCCCCTCCAGGGAGGACTTCGGGCTCCTGGGCCTTCACACCTGCCAGTCAGACAAATGAGGGAGAATGAAAAGCAGCCGAGAGCTTGCACTGCTCCCCAGGAGAGTGCCAGAGACTCGGAGCTCAGAGGGAGGGGCCGGAGGGGGACCTGCGGGGAAATGAGGGAGAGCAGAGGCCAGGAGGAGAGGACTCTGGGGAAAAGATGGACGAAGAGGGATTTCTGTAAGGTTTGCTCTGGAGACCTGAGACAGAATGTCCCCTTTGTTAAGAGTCTGCAGCAAAGACATTTCTTCAGGTTTCTGGAGCCCCGAGTCTCTCTTGGCTGCCCAAGACTTCACAGCGGAAGGGAGAGGGCTCTGGTTTAGCCGGGGCACTGAAGGATGAGGGCAATCAACATGCCGCGGTGCTGGGAGATGCCGGTCCCAAAGCCCTGCGCTGCTCTCCTGCCTCCCCCGCCAGGCCTGACCTTCCACAGCCACCTGCCCCGGGGAATTCTGGAATTCTGCCCAGTCTCGGGCGAGGCAAGGGAACACAGGGCTCTCAAGGAAATCAAATTAAACCATCCATCACTCTGACTGGGAATTAATTAGAAATAATTACACTATGGGAAACATGGCTAGACAGAGAAATGGAGGCAGGGGTGGGGAGCCGGGGCAGAGGGGTGGGGTGCAGTGAGGCTGAAGCGGGGGGCATCCGGACGAGGCGCTGTGAAGGGGAATGAGTTGGGCTGACCACCAGACAGGGCGTGCTGGGGGGAGAATGAATCTGCGGGCTCCTGGGAGCCCGACGCCCTGCAAGGTCAGCTATCCTTCCTGGCAGACAGGTGAACTCACACACAGTCCAGTGACCAACGGGCTCTGGACAAACGATGGCCAAAAATGAACAAGATCCTTGGTGGTGAAAAAAAAATTAAGCACAAAGAGAAAGGCCGCTAGAGGCCATGGAGCAGGAAAGTGAGCTCAAGTCAGTGGGTTACAAGTGCCCAGGTCAGTGAGTGAGGGTGTGTCTGCTCAGGGGTCAGTGAGTATAGCTGGTTAGTTAACTTCCAGAAAGACAAGTTATTTTCAAAGGAGTCAAAGTGCAGCTTTTACAGATTTCTCTTCCACCACTATCGCTGCCTCAGCTAAAGCCAGCTCCACAGATTCCAGAGGAAAAGAATCAGATCTAGGAATTCTGCATCTCATGGGCAAATTACTCATTTGCAGTGTAACAGGGAGATATTCAGAAATCTGCAAACCTATGAAATTTTCCCGAATGAGCACCGTTCCTGCAAAGAATGCCTAGGAGTTTCTCCTGAATTGTCTGGGGTGGTAAGCCCGAGAGGGATTCTTGAACAGGAAAGTTGGGAAGTGACGGCAACTGCCCACGGGGAGTATTGAGGTTGCAGAGGTCAGGAAATAAAAAATATTAATCACTAATGTTAAATTTTAACTACACCAAATTAAATCAATAGCGTGTGAAAGTTTGGAAAAATAACCGGAACTCTCAAAAACCTCTTTAACTCCACAAAAGGGAATAGGAAGTATTTTTATTCGCTAGGTTTAAAAACAGAATTATGAATGTTAACAACGTATGTTTTAGAAGTCACTAGTGGAATGAAAACTGGAATGTTCATCTTCGAAATTATGATCAGTGCTATGAACCACACCGACCACCAGAAGATAGACAGACTGTCCAAGGGAGGAAGCACGAGCACCTGGGGAGAGGGAGGTAATGACAGCAGTCAGGCCAGACCACTCGGACCGCAGCAATGAGGGAACACGGCCCGGACTCCCGATGGAGAGACGCAGCTGCAGGCACCTGCAAACCGGAGAACTGACGGAGAAGAGCCTGCAGAGTCCACAACCAACTTTGATCAGGGGAGCAGGGTGAGATGCAGTGCCACCCTCACGGTAGAATGGGAACGAGGTGTTACATGCAAAGGGTGACAATGTAATGACAAAAGGTACAACGAGTAATAAGGGCCTGATGTTAATACATCTTCATGTGGGGAAGAAGTGGGCAGGGGAGAGGGTATCGCTGAACACGGCTCAGGGGGCCCAGATGGGCATGGCCACTCATAAAGCAGTTCCGCCTTCTATCAAGAGCCTGGTGCTGCTCATGTTCTTTGACCCAGTAATTCCCCACTTTTGACAATGTCTCCTTAAGAGATAATGCAGCCCTGGCTGATGTAGTTCAGTGGATTGAGCATGGGGCTGTGAACCAAAGGGTCACTGGTTCAATGCCCAGTCAGTGCACATGCCTGGGTTGCAGGCCAGGTCCCCAGTGGGGGATGCATGAGAGGCAACCACACATTGATGTTTCTCTCTTTCTCCCTCCCTTTGTTTCTCTCTAAAAATGAATAAAAATCTTAAAAAGACATAAAAGTCTTATTAAAAAAAGAGATAATGCAAAATGTGGACACATATTTATGACCTGGTGTTATTCAACAGCAAAAATCTGGAAATCTAATATACCCAACAAAAGAGGCATAGGAAGTAAACTTAAATCATATTATTTAAATTGATGCTTCTGAACAGTTTTAAGGGGAAAAGGGTTAAAAATCTTAGGGAAAAAAGCAGAAAACAAATTTTTGCTCACAGAACAATACTGACTATATTAAAGAAATGCACATGGGAAAAAGGCTCCGAGGTAATAAACTAGAATGTGAGTAGTAGTTAGGGACAGTGGGAATTGGAGTGAATCAAAATTTTTCTTTATACTTTTCTCTATTTCCTGAAATTTACATGTTGAATATGTACCACTGAAATAATAAAAATATGATACCAAAGGTCTATAGTTATCAAACTACATGGCTAAAAATATAAGAAAAAAACATTAAAAACATAAATTGCAAACCACAGTTCAGTGTGAGAAATTAGCTCATCATTGTCCCGTGGACAGATAAATTAAACAAAAGGGCAAAAGACATCTTGAGGAAAAAGTGTGGAAGTCTTTAAAATGGGCTGAGAAGATTACTGGGTTTCCTGTCTAGTACACCCTCCTGGGTTATCTACATCTTCCTCATGTTGGAGCTCCTTTTAAAACTTGAAGACAAAAAAATTGGTAACGATGCAAATACTTCTCATCCACAGAAATGCATCAGAATTGTGTTGGGCAGCACGCGACGGATCGCGCCCTGCGGACAGGGCATCTACTCACAGACTCTTGACCCTCTCCCGGTTGCCCACATGCACGGCCTGTGTGCTTTGGAGTCCCCTCTGCGCCAGGTGCAACATCTTACTGGTTCTCACGTTAATGAGGGAGTTAAAGGAGATCGCGGATATATGTGCATTTTACATTTGTCCGAGGGACACGGTTTTACCTTTTTGCAAAGTTGTCTTTTAACAGCATAGGTTTCATAACAATGAAATAGCTGTTTTTAAATTTTACATTCTGAAAATATGGTCCACATCTTCTCAAGCACCCATGAGATACTTATAAAATAAATGAAATAATATGTCATGAAGAAATCACAACACATTTTAAAAAACAGAGTGGGAGACTTCCCGGTCACTGGGGTCACCCCAACAGCGTGACCTCAGGGACGGCCGAGGGCAGAGACTGTTGGACAGTGACGTTAAAATCTGCGGTTGCGCGGGCTGGGAACCAAAGTGTCCCAGGTTTGATTCCCAGTCAGGGTACATGCCTGGGTTGCAGGCCATAACCCCCAGCAACCACACATTGATGTTTCTCTCTCTCTCTCTCTCTCTCTCTCTCTATCTCCCTCCCTTCCCTCTCTAAAAATAAATAAATAAAATCTTAAAAAAAAAATCTGCGGTTGCAGGGAACGTGTCGTTCAAAGGTAAATGCGTGAAATCAAACGTTATTATAAAAACCTTAAGCATTCTAGTTCACACGTGAAAGAAGAAGAGCAACAACAATAAACCGAAGGAAACAGGAAGAAGAAAAAATAAGAATGATAAAGACTAGAAGTACAGAGGAAACATCGTGAAATTTAAATAAATGTGTCAGGAGCTTGATATTAGAACAATGAGCAAAACTCTGCCAAATATAAGTTCTTAAAATGTAGCAAAAGAGCACAAAAATTAAAACAAGAACTGAGCTATACGGAGTGTTTTATTGAACTTAGTGTGCTTTAAGTGACTTTTGTATCATTCTAAATTTTTAAAAAAATTTTTTATAATTGATCATAAAACTGATCATGTCCATGAGAGTTTTTAAAAACTATACTAAAATGGACAGAAAAAGTAAAAAAATTTAACTAGAACTAGGATTGACCTTAAAATAACTATTAAAATAATCTCCCCCCCGTTTGATACCTGACCCAACCTGCATAGATAAATTCTTTCTATTTTTGAACAGAAAAGTAATCCTGTTAGAGAGATTGATTCACACGCAGAAAATATTCAAGGCCACCTACAATTCATTCCCAGAGTGTCATCGATTTTCGGGGCCCGATCTGAGACAGAGATAAAACGCTCAGCTGGTGACAAGGACTCAGCAATGTGATGAAAGAATAATGCCCCAATTAGGGTTTATCACAGCAAGCTAAAGGGCTGTTCAATCGGAGCGAATCTAATAATAGAATCCCCCCCATCAATAGCTTCAGAAAACTCATAGGATTGTTTTACAAAGACCAAAAAGGCATTTGAAAAATTTCACTACCACCTTCAAAGACAAAATTTAACAAAAGGAATGCAAAAATAATTTTTGAGCAGGCTGAAGTGGATCCTAAATTAAGAGCTGGCACTAATATTATAATTAGTGGAGAAATACTAGAGAGATGCACTTGAAGATCAGAGGCAGAACAGGGACACCCGGCCCAGCACCACGGTGGTGCTCAGGATCCAGGGCAGTGCGAGGGCCACAGTGAGAACTAGGAGGAACCCGGAGAAACGAGGAGATGGCTGCTGCCGCTCACAGCTGATGACCTGGCTCCGTATGGACAAAAGCAAACAAGTCATCCGAACCCAACAGATGCAAGAGATGCATGTGAGATAATCCATGAAAGGAATTCTGCATTTCTACACCCCAAAATTGGTTAGGAAATATGCAAGAAATGCCAGTCGCCGTGGCAACAACCTACTGTCACCACCGCTAACAACACTCCACAGGCCGTACTGAGCATCAAACGTGCATGATGACTGAGAGCAGAATCTCCCAAGAGTCCACGCTGCACTGGTAGATGGCAACGTCCTGTGCTGAGCGAAGACTCAGAGCACATCTTGGAAACGTTTACGACCAAAACCCAGAAGCAACTACAGATGTTATCAACAGCTTGGGACCACACTGCCGAGAAGTGGCCCCATTGAAAGATGAGGAAACAGAGGCTCAAGGAGGTGGTTTCAACCCTGAGGAGACCCGAGTGGGCGATGGTGCACCTTGCACAGCATGCTGGGAGCAGATCTGGGGCCAACACCCTTGACAAGGTGACTCAGATTCTAGAGTCTGGGTCTTCCCCACTCCGCTGTAACCCACTGCCTGCCTTGGACTTCCAAATAGCAAACAGTCTACAGGATGAATGAGGCAAGGGAGTGTGTTTTACATGTTACTAAAAGAGACTTTAAAACACCAAGACTCAAAACAGCATGACACTGGAAATGTGGGTGGTGGAGGCTCAGGGTGCGGCTCAGCTATTTCAGGGTATGGGAAGAAAGTCCTCTGATGCACTGCAGAGCAGTAGCTGAGTAGCATTTGAAAAAATGTACAGATCTAGTCTTACCCGTGCCTAGGCATGCAAGAGAAGCCTAATCATAAAAACTAGTGGTTGCCTTTGCTCTGTGCCAGGCCCTGTGCTAAGCAGCTCAGAGACCTTCATTCAATCCTCATGAGGATCCCACAAAGTGAATGCTCCCATTCCACAGATGGAGGAACCGAGGCTCAGAAAGGGAAGTGACTGGCTCTGGGTCCTTCAGTCAGGCCTGGCTGACTTCTACAGGGAACCTGTCCATGTGGCAGTGACAAATGTAGCCCAGCCCCCGATTCGAAAAACCGACGGGGAGCGACGTTGGCACACAGGAGCCAAACCCACAGATCAGTTCTCCCATGGGGAACCAGGTCTTCATTGTACCTAGGCTGCTATGAGGCTTGCTTTTGCTAAAACTCCCTCACCCTGGATTGAGGTGGCAAATGTTTACTGCATATCTTTAAAGTAACTTCCTAAAATCTGTCCTAAATCTCTCAAGTATGGAGTGTAACCAGTTCAACCACTTTTCCCCTTGATCTGCAATATCCTTCTCTTTGAAGTAATTAGTAGCAACATTCTTTCCTTTGTTACCTGTAAAAGGTAACCACCTAAAGCGAACCTGTGCATAGTAAATGAGGACCATCCTCGATGTAATGTACCCCCCAAAAAACAAAAAAAGCCTGTCCAGGCAGGGGTTGCGACCCGCTCACGTAGAGAGTGGCCATGCCGTCCCTTTTTCTCCACAGGACTTCTGCAGTCCGTGTGAATTTGTTCGTTGTAGCCACAACACACGGACCCCGAGGGCCAGAGTCTGCATCAACTTCAACAGCCTAGCTCCCTGTCCTCACCCAGCAGATGGTGCTGGCCTTTTCTGAGCTCCCACGGTGGCTGCAAGCCCTTGGGTGTCTAGGTGTCCCTGACAGCACAGCCCACTCCCAGGGTGCCTTAGTTGATGTGCCCAAGAGGCTGCCCCTACTCCCAGCTGACTGACACGCCGGTCACTCCTGGGCAGGCTTGAAGTCCCATGCTGTGCTCTCTACCTCCTGACAGGTCCTTGACTCAGTTTCCCCTCTTGTTTCAGCCAGCAGATATGGCTGTCTGGCTACAACTCTGCAGAGTTCACCCTTCTGAGCCTCAGGAAATTCACTGTACCTCTTCTCCATGGATGCAGAGGAAGAACACAGCTTGCTTGCCCCCTCTGGGAGCTGCCAGCCCAGTGGGGTACAGAGCCAGGGGCAGGAAATGAAGCTTGGGGTGGGCTGTTTACGCTCACCCGAGCTGCAATGGAGAAGGTGCAATCACCACTCCCCCACCACCACCTGGCCTTATCTCCCAGCCTTCTGTCTTTTTCCAGGTCATCAATGCAAACGAGGAGGAGACAGGACCACAGGCGGAGACCTCTCTCCAGGACACGCAGGGAGTCCCTGTACTCCTGATGGTTCCACTGCCCAGCCCACGGCTTCAGGCCTGGACAGGCGTTCTCATACCAGACACCACCCGATTCCTCAGTCCAGCTCACATGCGTGAACCTGCCCTTCCCCTTCCTGCCTCATAACCCTGCTGCAGCAGGGAATGAGACTGGCAGGTATGAACACTTGTCCGGGACCCCAGAGGCCTGGCCTACCTGCTGCTCCCTATCCAGGACTCCGTCCCAGGCCTGTGCACAGTTCTGGGAAAGGGTCTCACCCTCCGAACCGGACACCAGACATGGGGGGCAGGGCCATTCACGGAGCTGCTCCACTCACTTCACAGTTTACCTCTGCTCCCTCTTGGAGCCCCAAGCAAAGGCCACCCAGAGCCAGGCCCACCCAACACTTACCACAAATCTAGGCACCCTTGGGTGTGGATGCCTCAGAGAAAATCTGGAATCAAAGCCTGGACCCCCAGAGGCCACCCACACCTGCTGACCTTCTTGGTGTAGCCCATGGCCTTCAAGACAGAATGATTCAAGGTCTCCAGGGAGGCCAGGACGTCCTCATAGTCCCCCATGTGGTCCACAAAGTAATCTGGGGGAAGAGGAAGCAAAGATCAGGCATCATAGGAGGACCCTGCCCCTCTCACCAATCCCACCTGTGCCCCTCCCTCCCCCGACACCTCTCGGTCCCTGCAGGGCCTAGCTGGGTACCTACCGCACAGCTCCTTGGTGTCCACGTGGCTGTACAGAGAACAAAGGAGAGGGGGACTCAGAAGCCGCTCTGTCCCATCCCCCTGACCTCCCTCTGCAGTGTGCACAGCCCATGCAGCTGGTACAACACCCGCGTGCCTTCTCCCCTCATTCCGTTCTCTGGCACCGTGAACCCCACTGTACAGGTGAGGGTGCAGCAGATAAATGGCCCCACCCCCTCCAAAGGACGGAGCAGGGATTCACGTCTGCCCCTCTGTCCATCTGACCCCTCCCACACCACCCATCCCGTTTTCTCTCCCAAAGTCTGCCGAAAGCATTATGAGCAGCTGGGACCAAGGGATGGGGCTGAGGCAGGGCCCAGGACAGGGAGGGGAAAGGGATGAGGGGGCATGGCCACTACAGGCCAGGCCAAGACAAAACCCTCCAGAGACTTGCTGCCCCTGGGCATTCTGCCTTCTGGGTCCTGGGCCTGGGACTGCCTCCTCGATCTCACCCTAGCCCCGGGCTCTGCAACCCCTTCCCACAGCCTGCAGGGAGAGGATCCCATCCTTCCTCAGAGGAGGCTGAGCCAAAAGCCAGGTCTGCCCGTGAAGGTGCGTGTAGCGAAGCGGGCTCAGGACAGAGATGTGTGACTCTGGCGTGTGCTTGGTGGGCGCCCAGGGTCCCCAAGTGTCTGTGCAGGTTCCAAACCTTCATTTTCTGGGCCCCAGTGTCCTCACTGAGAGAGGAGGGCCTGGCCTGTGACAGTGAGCTCCGCACCACCCAGGTTTCAACCAGGTGCCTCTGGGACAAGGCTCCTGTGGCCAATTAACCGGTTCAGAGGCTTTGCAAGCTGTCTCGGGGGTTCCCCTCATTTGCATGTCACAGTCAAAGTTCCGACAAGTGTTGCAGAAAGGAAGCCTGTTTAACTGTGTTTGAACTAGCATTTCACCGATCGCTCTGATCCGTGTGCGCTGTTTTGGACGGAAAGCCTATTCAGCATCCCAGGAGCACATCTTTACAGTTTCGACCGGGGGAGCATTGAAGGAAGTATTCCTAAAGGTCTCTGAGTTTTGACCTTCTGTGCATTGGTGAGCCCTCCCCACCCCCACCCCCACCTGTCTGCTGTCCTGGCTAAATTCTCAAACCAGCACCTCTTTCTCGCCCACCCATCTGGCCCACCACAAAAGGCACCAAATGAGAATGAAAAACCAATAGGCACCAGCCCTTTCAAAGCAGGGGCTGCAGGAGCTTCTCAAAGACCTCCAGACACAAAGCCTGCAGCCAGCAGGGGGAAGCTCTTGCTTTCAAGTGGCCGTCCCTGGATCACCACGCCTGCTCCATCTGTCCCGCCCTGGTCCCCAGCACCCACCCCCCACCTCCAGAACACTCTCAGCCCCAACCTCTGGCCCAGGCCACCACTGTGCCGGGGCCCTTGCCACCTACAGGCCTGGTGGCAGCTCCTTGTTCGAGCCCTCTCCAGCCTGTGTCAGGGGATCCCAACCTATCAAATCTGCCCCAGGCACCCTCCCAGGAACCGTGGTCGTCTTCCCCGGAGGGGGCCTGAGGAAGGTGGCCAGGTATCTATCGGGTGGAGAAGGGGGCTCATCCTGCTTGGGGAGCCCCAAGGAAATTACAGTATGTGATCATCGAATCACTCTGCTGTACACCTGAACCCAATACAAAGTAGTACTGAAAGTAAACTAATGTCAAGAAAAAAGTAAGCAGAGTTAGGCTTAGCACTGGGGTGAGGTTTGATTTCAGATGGGGTCCCCTGAGGTCAAAATGACAGCACTACTTCTGGGTCCAGGAAGAAACCCCAGGCGCTGGGTCAGAGCTGGGTGGAGTTAGCAGAAGGGTGATGTGACTGCCAGCTTCCTGCTTCACCAGCCTGTGTACGTTCTGCAGAATCTAGGGTCTCTCCACTCGGCCACGTGTGCTCAGTAAAGACCAACTTGCCAAAGCGGTAGCAACCGCCCGCTCCCTGGGTCACCCCAGTAGCAGGGTGGGGGGCTCTGACTTCTGGATTAACGAGTTGGGGGACTGCAGGGCACCTGCACCTCCAGGATGGTGGACAGTGGAGGCTGGCCCCTGGGGGAGAAGGAAGATCCCTCCCAGACCCACTGGGCACCCCGCTCCAGCAGCCAGGGCTCAGCTCACTTGGTGTCATCAGAGTCGATGGTGTGGAAGAGATCCTCCAGCTCCGTCTCATTGAGGACGCCATCTGCAAAGAAGAGCTGGAATTCCTCCAAGGACAACTTCCCATCGTCTGCAAAGAAAGGAGGAAGGAGGAAGAGTGCCTGGTGTCTGAGCCATAGGATATCCCCAAATCCAGACAACTCCCAAACTACCGAACAGATAAACCCCAAACCCCAGCAGCTAATCCCCGCCTGCAGGCTAATCCCCAAATGAACCAGTAAACTCCAGCTCACAGAGAGCTAGTGCTTCATTCAGCAAATTCCCAAACCAACAGACCAACACCTACTTAGAGATAATCCTCAAGCCAAGGAACAAGAAGTAGCTAGCCTGCCAGGGGCCCAGTCTGCATGAATTCAACAGCGAGCACCTACTCACTGCCAGGCACTCTTCCCTCCTGTGATCCACCTAATCGCCCAGGGGCAGGCACTGTTTACGGCAGCACCACGCCTGTAAGAGGTACGTCCAAAGCCGGAAGTCTGATGATCCCCCTCTCTCTCTCTTCCAAATACCCAAATAATCTCCCCACACTTAAATTATCTCCAATGCCAGCACCCATGTCCTGATTTGGGGAGAGGGATTGACCCCTCTCTGTTCTGCCACATCCACCCGGCAAGCCTTTGCATGGTCTGAGGTGTGACGGTTGTCACCGTTGGCACAGATGCAACCATCAAGATGCCAAATCATGAGGAAAGGAGGTGGCTGGCCTGAGCCCAGTGCTGGACCGCCCTCCTCGGGGCTGGGCGTGGGTGCTGTGGTTCTGCAATGGCGGGGGCAGGGGATAGGATCTGTAAGAGAGCACCGCAGCTGATGCGTGCCACCTGCCCCTCCTGAATTCCCCTCCCCTGTCTCACCACTTCTCCCTCCACCTGCAGTCACCCTGGCACAACTGCTGAAGCTCTCAGGGTTGGGCGCAGAAGAGCCACTGAGGGAAGGGCTCACTGCAGAACCCCAGGGCCTCCAGGGGAAAAAGTCCTCAAGTTTCCACCCTTGGCTCCACCCACCTGAGCACACCTGTGGACCAACCTCCAGCAGGCTGATCTCCGGCCCCCTGCAACCATCACCCCCTCCTCCAGGATCAGTCCTGCTCCTTAAAGGAGCCGTGTCCATGGGAGGCAGTGGAAGCCAGGGAGAATGGAAAGCCCATGGCACTGCACTGCACAGCTCGGCCCCTCTATGCAGACCCCCTTCCTTGACTTCCAGCTAGGCTGCAGTCAAAGCCCCTGCAAGCCCACAAGGCACCTCTCTGTGGATTAGAAGGAGGCATCCTTTCCTGGTTGGGGGTGGGGGATGGGTTGGGAGCCGGCGTGCAGGCTGGACCTGAGGCCCTCACATCCTTCAGGGAGATGCCCTTGTGCCGGACACAGCCTGCCCCACTGGACCTGGCAGACCTCCTTGAGCCCAGACTCCTTGAGCGAGGTCCTTCCCACATTTTAAATGCTCTAGAGCTTCTACCTCTGCTCCCAGCAGCTCTGTGTGGGCTCAGAGTCAGGCAAAAGGACAAGCTCAGGGCAGGGAGACCCTCGCCCTCTGGAGACTTCCTTCCACCTGTCACACAGTATCAGGGGCTGGGAAAGAGTGAGGACACTAATGTGAGGTGCGTGCATGGGGGGCTGGGGGCGAGGTCCCAGGACACCTTCGCCCTCGAAGCTCAGGCTTCAGTGACACAGAGGGAGAAGGAGTTTGTAACTTTCAAATGCAAGAGCCCCCTACCCCAATACACCCACCTGGAAGATTCAGAAACCTACCATGAATAGTATGAGATACTGTGAAAAATGAAAACTCTAAGCTATGGTTCTTTGTAGTCTGGGCATGAGGAGACTTTCCAAGTTCCCTTTGGCAAGATCCGTGATGAAAACCAGGAATCACAGTGTAGAATCAGGGCAGACACATGCGGCTCTTACTGTGTGTTCACTCATTTAGGCTTCAGCGCCCCCCATGGCATGGTAGCACCACCACCCCTGTTTTACAGAGCCGTAAACTGAGGCAGAGCAGTTAAGCGACTTGCACAGGCCCCACAGCTGGAGTCCAGCGCAGGCCATCTGGCTCCCGAGTCCATGCTCTCAACCCAACATGGCGCAGGGTCTCGTGGGAGACCTCCAGCCCCAGGGCCCCATGGAAGTCTGGAGCCAAGTCCGGGCACGTGCGCTATGACTGACCACTCATGTCTGCCCGGGCTTGGCTGGCAGTCTCCCTGCCCCCACCCGCATCCTCCTGCCTCTCTGTGCCTCTGTCCAGTCTGAAACCAGGAAGGCAGGCAGGAGAGACTGCCAGGCCTCCAGAGCACAAAGCCTTCCCAGCTGACATTTACCATGAATGTCCCACCACAGCCCTAATGAACCCAGATCAGCTAATAAGAGAAGCGACCTCTCCGGCCCCGCCAGGCCCCTACCCAATTAGGCCAGCAGGCCTGGCACCTCCGCCCCAGTGGGCCACTTGCAGGTGTCTTCCCTAATTAGCATGAGCTCAGCCTCTTCTGACAGTGACCTTTCAAATGCCAGGAGTCTATTGCTGGAGAGAAATGCAGTCTCTGTGGAGAAGTCTGGGTTCAGGGAGGGCAGCCAGAGGCCACCGGTGCCCCTGTAACCCCTCGGGCCTGTCTCCTTCCCACCCTCCGCCCAGGGCCCAGCTTGAGACCACACTCCCGTCTTCTGAGCAGCCGCCCCCCGCCCCCCGGTGCCCTGCACTCCCAAGGATGCCTGGGGAGAGCAGCAAATGCTTGTGTTCAGCAAGTGCGTGCACGTGCCTCTGTGTGTCTCTGCCTGTGTCTACACCCACTCTCACCCGCACGTGGGCACTACCTCCAGCCCCTGCCCACACGACATTTTCAAACCGTGCTGGGCTGAATCGGAACGTCTGGCCCTGCCCAGCTGAGGGGCTCAGTGGCCAGGGCTCCATCCACTCTCCATCCTCATGACAGCCCTCTGAGCCTCGCACCAGATTCAATCCCCCCACTTACAGATGAGGAAACTGAGGCCCGAGAGTTTGGTGACCGGCCTGAAGTCACAAAGCTGGGAAGCGGCTGAGGGAGGGCTTTGACCCAGGTGGCCTCTGTGCCTGAGGAGGGCCCCGCCTCTCCCCCACAGGCTCTGTACCCCCCACACACATTAACCCTGGTGACAACCCCCGTGGCTGCTCGGTGGCGGCTGGGAAGACTTGAGGCCCCACGAGGAGTGTGGGCTGGGCCTCGGCGGGGGCTGCGGGGATGAAACTGAGGGCCCGCAGCTGTGCTCAGCGCCTCGCCTGCCTTCACGAGCTGGGCTGCCTAGGGCAAGGCGCGTAACCTCTCGGCCAGCACGGAGCTGACAGAGCAGAGGACTCAGCACCGACTGCATCAGGCCGCTGTGAGGAGGGAAGTGTGCCAGGGCCCATGAGGGGCCTTGAGTGAGGCCGGGGGCTTCCTTAAGTGGCGGTTTCTAGGCCCCCCGCCTGGGCCGTCCTGGCCCAGCCCAGCTGCATAAGGGTTGACACACCGAGTGTTTACCACAGCCGTCCTGGCTTCACAGACATCAACTCACAGAACCCTCCTGGCGTCCCTGCTCTGTAGGAACTATATGGGAGTCCTAGAGGGGAAACTGAGGCACAGAGCAGAACCATGATGTGGCCTTCAGACTCCAGAGACCTGTACTCTTCACCTTTAGGTTCAAGGTTGTCCAGTCCCTACCTCTGATCCTTTGCCCTGAAAAAGAGCAGGTCCTCATTCAGGAGCCAGCCTGGGAGGGAAACTCACCATTTTTGTCCGCACGGCGGAAAATCTGCAGAGAAGAGAGGTTGGTTGAGTCAGCTCTGGGCCAGGGGAGCAGGCGCCCTCCGGCGGCTCCTGACCTGACACAGATATCCCACTACTCCCCACGTGGCTTGGGAAGCAGAGCCCCCACTTGTCCCTCCCCAGGAGGAGCCCTGGCTGGCTGGGATCCCGGGTCGGGCTGGGGAAGGATGCTGCAGGCAGAGGCCCTCCCAGCCACCCTAGCGGAAGCAGCCGCCCACCCTCCCTTCTGTGCCGCCAGCCTGCCCACAGCCACGCTGACAAACACACGCACACGCATGTGGAGACTCAGGCTCACGCCGTCCACATGCTTTGTGGTGCACTCCCAGAGCCGTCAGTCCACGTGGCTTCACCCCTGTTGCACGTTCAGTCGCACCCTCAGAATGTGTGTCCCATGGACGCAGCCAGAGGCTTTACACCCTCACACCCCTCCCAGAAACCCTTGGGGCCGCAGTTTCCTTCAGGGAGGTTGGGGTAAATCTGAACAGGGGTGTCTGCTAAGGGAACCCTGAGGCTTGGCACCTGGACCAGCCACAGCAGGATGGGATTTTTCTGGGTGCGCAAGTGCGCTGGGAGCTCAGAAACCCAGGTGCTGCATCAGGCAGGGATGGGGAGGGATGGTCCACGCCCCCACCCCAACCACAGCTTGAGATTGGAGACCAGACTCCTCCTCCTCCTCCTGGTATTTTGGGACCAGGTAAGCCATCATGGAGGGAGGAGGAGGCGGCACTGGCCCCTCTAGCCATCCTGCCTTTAGTCCTTCCCTGGGATAAAAGACAGCTGCCCCTCCCCTCCAAGTGGCAGCGCAGGTACCCATTACCAGGCACCCGGGGCTGTGACAAACTGAAGCAGCAGCTTGGGAGGGCTTCTCCTTGGGAAGGACGTCACCCCCTTCCTTAGCTGAACCTGATTCCAGGGCACTGGGCAGGAGCCTCCGTGGCTGGGGCAGGAAGGGGAGCAGACATCAGAGCATTCCAGACCCTCCTCAAAGCGTCAGCCCGGGCACCCCACACCTGTGCTCCTGGTGACAAGGTTCCTCAAGGCTGGGGTCCCACCCTCAGGTGCCTGCTCCGGGGCCTGGGTGTTAAGTGAATGACACGCCACATGATGTGGCTCCGGGAGGCTGCACGAGCCCTGAGCCCCCACCTCCGCTCATCACCCCACTTCACAGATGAGGAAAAGGAGTCTCAGAGCCCTCTCGCGGCACTCCGGGACGGGGAGCCCCACTCCTGTACCGCTAGAGAAGAGAACCAAGCGTCTGGACTGGCTTCCCTGCACGGGTGGGCCCAGGGCTGTCCGCTGTGAACTCTGCTGGGGTCTTGGGAGGGAGGGTTCCCTGTGTGTCCAGCTGTGCATGTGTGCGGGTATGGGGGGCACTAGGACCGCCAGCACTCCCAGCAAAGCTCCACCTTCCCTGCCCTGCCCAGACCTCTCTGCTCCCAGCCAGCTTGGGGGTTCCAGGAAAGAAGAGAAAATCCACGCTCCCCTACACTCACAGAGATGTGCAGAACACACACACACACACACCCCAGACAACCACCACACACACTCGAAACACTCCCACCCCTGGGACCACCCACCAGGCAGGACCCTCACTGGGACATGCATGTCCCACCGCCCTGCAGTCTGTCAGTGGGGGCGAGGGGTGGGCAGGATGAAGCCCCTCCACTTTCCCCTAGCCCTCCACAGGGCAAGGCCCCCATCCCCTGCCACCCACCCTGCAGGGTCTCCCTCCCACTGGGGAGGAGGAGGTGGAGCTGGCTTCCCAGAGGTGGGCAGTCTGGGTTCCAGAGAGGATGGCGGGGGGGTGAGTAGGGATGGAAGGTGAGGGTGGGGTGGGGGAGGGAATGGAGAGCAGAGGAGACTCAGAGTGGGTGGGGGTGGTGATGGGGGAGCCGGGGGTCCAGACTCAGGACCCATGGGGGTGGTTCCGGCTGTACGGAAAGGAGAGGCAAAGGAGGAGGGGGGCCGGGGGCTTCGCTCTCAAACAGAGGGTGGCAGGGCGAAAGGGTCTTGGATCGAGGATGAGAATACAGGGCTCAGGAAGGGAAAGGTGGTCTTAGGAAAGTAGCAACTCAAGCGGGGCCCCAGGATGGAGAGGAGGAGGGGCTGGGGGCGTCAGGGGCTCCTGCCCGGAGCAGGAGCGAGGGTAGAGGTTGGCGTGCAGGACTGGAAAAACACGGGAATTTGGCCAGGACAAAAGTAAGGGGGCGGTGGCCGGGTCGAGGGGGCTCCAGGATCCCGGTTCCGAGAGATGGGAATCCCGAGAAGCTGAGGGAGGGGACGGGAGGAGGGGTTTGTCTGGGTCAAAAGATGAGACTGGACCGAGATCGGGACCGATCCGAACGTGGAAGGGTTGGGGGCTCGCGCTCTGGGATGCAGAGGGGCCGGGTGCGGGTCCTGCTCCGAGCTGCCGAGGGGGATGGGCCAGGGGTCCCCTGCTCAGGGAGGAGGGGGCCTCGGGGGTCCCGGCGAGGACGAAGGAGGGTGGCGTTGGGGGGTTCTTGCCATGGGAGGAGGGGTCTTGGGGTCCCGGCCCGAGCGTACTCACGTCCAGGATGACAGCGGTGCCCCCACGCAGCGAGGCGGGGCCCGGGCAGGGGCCGGGGTCTATGGCGGGGGCGTCGGGGGCGTCGGGGGCGGCGGGGACCAACGGCACCCGGGGCTCGCCCATCCTGGCGCCCACCCAGCGCAGCAGCCCGCCCAGTGCCCGGCCCTGCTGCGGCGGCTCCCGCAGCAGCCTGTGCGCGCCGGCCCTGCACAGGCGCGCCGCCCGCTCGCACATCGCGCCGCGCCCGCCGCCGCCCGGAAGCCCGCCGACCCCCGCCCGCCAGCCCGCGGCCCGCCCCCGCGCGACCCCCTCCCCGGCGCTGCCGCCGGCGCCGCCCCGCCCTCCCTCCTTCTGCCCCCACGGCCGCGGCCACCGCGGGGACGGGCCGGCGCCGGGGACCAGGCGGGGAGGGGTGTGCGCTCCGCCCGGACCCCGAGCCACGTGCCTGGTCTCCACCGCCCCACCTCCCCTGGCGACCGCGCGCGGCGGCTGAGGGCTGCCCGCCGGGGTGCTGATCTGGGGGCTGAACCTCGATTCAGCCTGGGAGGGGGCTGCCCAGTAGGCTCTGGGTTGGTGGGGGTCTGGCTGCGCGCGGGCGGAGGCGCCCCTGGGAGTTTCCCCCTTCCCCTGAAAGTCTCCCACTCCCCCCCACCAAGGACGCCCCCTACCCCGCCCATGGCGCCCCCGCAGGGGCCGGAGCGCGGTGTCCGGCGAGTACGGAGCGCCCTCTGCCGAGTATGGAGTGCCCCAGCCCCAGGCGTCGGTGCCCGCTCTCCGGGCTTCCACCGCCACTCCCGCGGGCGCCCATCCTTCGCTCCTACGGGCATGAGGCTCCCTCAGACCTCTCCTCCCAGAACCGGTCTTCACCCCCATCACCTTCTTTCCCTGACTCTCCAGCGGATGCGATAAGGAGCAAAGCTGGTGCTAGGCCCTGGGTCCCAATAATGGGCAAAAGGGGGACTTGGCCTCCTGGAGCTTACATCCGAGTGGACAGAGCCAGAAAGTGGACAGATTCCACAAATGAATGAACCTTTAGAACGGAACTGCTATGAAGAGGTGGCACCTTGGGCCACGAGCTGGGAATTTGCCCTGATGCTCGAGGAGGGGTTGGTACCAGAAGAAGCTTCCTTGAGCAAGTGATTCTATGCTGAGAGAGTGGAAAGAGGAGGAAGGGTTAAAGAAAGGAGGGGAACTGGGCTTGAGGCTGCTGAGCAAAGGCCCTGGGCCAGGTGCAGGAAGCATGGTGAGCCTGAGGGTTGAAAGGCAACAATATGCTACAAGGGAGAGTGGGAGGGGCCTTGGGAAGCCTCCCCAGCACTCCATTCCTCACACACCCTCCCTTCGCTTCTGGAACACACTGCCTTATCTGCCACACCTGGGGCACTGTCCCGTGTCTCCCAACCCCCAGCCCAAGGCCCTCCTCCCACATGGCCCTATGCTGCTCCCTCACCCCCACCCCCAGCTCCTAGAGCAGCCTCCCGGGCACTGGGCCCTTCCCCAAACACAGAGTTCTCAGACACGGGGAGAAAGGCAGGTGCTGGCTTTATTTGGAACCCGACTCTGGAAGGAGTGGGCCTGGAGTCCTGGGTCAGCGCCCAGCCGACCCTAGTGACCCCGCTCACACTGGCACCTTTCCCTCCACCCCCCAAATGCAGGTCTGGGTCTCCACAGAGCTGCAGCCACCACTCCCACTCCCAGCCCGGGCACTGCCCCGTATCCAGGCAGCCCGGGCTCCTGTTCCTCTTCATCCGAGAAAACTGCTGCGTGAGCCAGGAAAGGCCCCACTCCCTTACTGGGCACTGTGTGTCCACCAGGGCTGTGGTGACCTCCTCTCCTCTTTAGGGCCTAGGTGTGAGGGTGTCAGGCAGGGTGCTAGGGTGGCTTCCTGGCTTCCTTTCTCAGCAGGGAGCTGGCCACGGCCAGGGCTCCACCCTGCACGAACCGCACGAAGTTGTCCCCGGCCAGCGGCCCCACAGCATACAGGCCCTGCTGCTGCGTGCTCTGGTAGGTGAAGGGGTCCACGTCGATGGGGTTCCTCTTGGTGCTCAGCGGCTGCTCAGGGTCCACGGCGAGGTCAGCGCCCGCTCCAGGGAGGAAGGACAGGTTGGGGTGGGAGCCAATGAGGACCAGCACCAGGGAGATGCCAAAGACCTTCTGGAGGCCGTTGGGGTCCTGGAACACAGCCTGGAGGTCCTCCTTGAAGAACAGCAGCTGGTGCTCAGGGAGGCTGCGGTAGCCCTCGTAGGGGCTGGGCGACAGAATGGACTGCTCCCGCATCATCTGGTGCACCTTGTGGTACTCAGGGTACAGCATCTTGGGCAGCTGGTTGAAGACCAGGCCGGGGTCATCCACGGGCCGGCGGAAGGCATGGATCACGGGGATGTTGTAGTGACGGGCGTAGAGGACCGCGTCGGCCGCTGACAGCCCTGCGCCGACGATGAGGATGGGGTCCGAGGCCGGAGTCAGTGTTCCTGCTCGGATGGCCAGCTCCAGGGCTGACAGTTCATAGTGGACAAAGGGTAGGGTCTCCCCGGGGATGCCCAGCCGGGCCGGACTGTCCGACGTGCCTGTGGCCAGGACCACGTTGCGGGCGCAGAGGGAGAAGGGCTGCCGGCTCTGGTCCTCGGCAATCAGGAAGCCGCTCACCTGGAAGAGGGGGCTGGGGTCTCGGGCCCCAGCAACACCGGGCTCGGGCATCCTCCGTGCCACAGCGGTGACCACAGCGCCAGACACGAAGTTGTGGCCCAGGCCCTTCTTGCTCACATAGTCCACGTAATAGTGAGCGATGTCCCCAGCCGTGGCGCGGCTGTTACGAAGACCTCTGTGGAGGAGGACATGGAGGGGTGAGTGACAGAGAGTGGACCTGGGGTGGGGGGCGTGATCACGCAGGACAGGGAATGACCAGGCTGGCACCAGGCCCTGGAGCCAACCCCGGCTGTGCGCCCACCAGCCTGGACACTTGGCCAGTGGTGGCACCTCTCCGGAGCCCCAGTCTTCTCCTCTGCAAAATGGGGCCATATGAGTACCTTCTCGGGGCGGCCTCTAGAGGCGGGTGCCCTGGGTTCGTACCCTGCCCCTGTCCCAGTGAGCGGTTTCCTGAAACCCTCTGCCTCAGTTTCCTCATCGCAGAGTGAGGATGATGATGGCTATATGAATGAAGAGCTTAGAAGAGAGCCTGACATCCAGTAAGTGACATGAAAGGCTTGGCCACTGTTAACATTACTTCTAAGGATGAAACAGTGTCAAACATAAATATGGTAGGATTCCATTTTCATAAATTCAGAAACAGGCAAAACTAGTCTGTGCAGTTAGAGGTCCAGACTGTGGTTGCCTCTGGGGAGGAGAGGGGGGTGGGCACTGGGAGGGGCCTGGGGGGTTCTGCGGAGGGGGGGATCTATTTCCTGAGTCTGGGTGGCTGGACCCAGGTGTGTCCACTTTGAGAAATTTCATCCACCTGCACACATAGGCGTTGCGGACTTTTCTATACGCATGGTGTATTTCACTGAGGGGCTGACTACAAAAGGAACCCCTGCAGAGCACGCACTAGCCTGGTCCCCAGCACACGCAGGACCAGCCGGGACCACCCATCGTCACCCCACTGTCACCCCTGGCTCGGCCGAGGGCCAGAGTGGCTGGCGCAGGGGTGCAGGCTGCGGCACCCTCCCGTCCCTCCCTGCGTCTGCCCGGGTGCCCTCGGGGAAGGCACTGTCCCCAGCTGGGGACATAGTGTTGGAGATGAACTCACTTAACGGGAATCCTAAGTGACACACAGACACATCCCCCAGGGCCACTGCAGTCAGCCTCCTACTGAAGCTGGCAGTCTGCTACTGAAACTGGAACTCTGGAAATCATTCTGGGCTTCTCACCCACCTTTTCTTCTTTAAAGACCTGTGCTAAGATGTCACCTCAGTATCACTTATAGAAATGGCTCGTTAGAAAGGAGGAAAGCTCTGAGATGGGGCAGTGACTTAGGATCCGCGGCAGTACCTCGAGGGTAGGGAGTGCATCTGCCTGGTTTCTGGCTCCAGTGTCAGAGCGCAGGGCCTGGGACACAGGAAGTAGGCTGTGGAGTCATTCGCCCTCCCTGGGGAATATTACGTGGCCTTGAAAAAGGTGGTTGCAAATGCTGCCACCACCACGTGAAATGCTGGGACATAATGGTAAATTTTAGAAATTGGATATAGAAGGGTAATGTCTGCCAGTGAGATACGAGTTCCTGCCTGTAAACACACAGCTGCGTGTGGGACGTTTTCCTACCAAGCCTGCAGAGACGAACATCAGAGAGACGGACAGTGAGCCTTGGAGAGGCGGGGTGCCTGCCGGGTGGGGGTGGCGTGTCCCCTGTCACAGCCCCCAAGGGTGGAGGAAACAGGGCAGACAACCACACGGGGGCGGGGACCCTCTGCCTGGACCACTGGGCAACCCCACGCCTCGAGCCCCAGGGTGAGCAGAGGCTGGGGTGCATTTACTCAGCGATCTGTTTCTCCAGGGCAGCCGGTGGTGCGCAGCGAGGCCGTTAAGGGGCAGGAAACAAGACGGGAAGAAAATACCCCAAGATGTGTGGGGCTGGGGTGAGTCGTCTTTCCTTTCTCAATTTTCAGTTTTCTATAGTGTGGTTGTGTTCCTAATGCAAAAGCATTAGACATAACTAAAGGAAGGAAGGAAGTGGATCCTTTTAGCTGACCTAGAGGGAAAGAGATTGTTCTAGGCTGGGCTCAGACTGGGGGAGGGGCAGCAGGGAGGCCCGAGGACTGGGAAGCAGGGGGAGGGCCGGTCATGTGAGAGGAGGAGGGGGCACTGGACTAGAGACCTGGGTCAGCCCAGCTCTGCTGAGCACTTCTGGTGTGGGCCTGCGCAAGTCCCTTCCCCATCAGAGCCTGAGTTTCCCCTCGGGGTCCGAGAAAGGCAGACCAGATGAGCCTTGAAACCCCTTGACCTCTGGCTCCTGGGCTCAGGGTAGAGGGCGGGCCTGGGTGCTCCCCGCCCACTCTGGGCTTCCCAGGGCCGTCTCACCTGCGCTTTTTGCGCATCCAGTCCTTGACCTGCAGGTCTGGCAGCCCCATCCACTGGCCTTGGCTCAGGGTCACCATGGAGCCTTCAATGGACTGTGTGGAAAAGCGGTCTGTTGGTCCAGGCCTCTGCTAGCCCCCAGCCCGCTTGGGCCAGAGGGTACAGGAAGCCTGAGCTCACGCAGAGAAATGGGAGAGGGAGGGGGGAGTGGAGGGGCAGTGAATAGGGACAGGCAGGAGACGCAACGGTCCGAACCCTGAGTTAGGGAGGCGGTCTCCCCAAGACTTTGTGTAGGCTCGGCCCAAATCCCCTCGCACCCCTTCCGGGCCCACTTACGTGCCAGGCTCCCCCAGGCAGGTTCCGGCCCAGGACCACGTGGGGGATGGCTCGCTCCTTCTGGAGCTTCCAGGTGAGCACAGACTCCATGTCTCCCCCAAAGTCTGTGTCTGGGCGCAGGAGGGCATCGAAGAGCAGGGCCACAGGGCTTTGGCTCCGGCCTTCGAGGCCTTCAGACAGGTAGTCCAGGTCCTGCAGGGGGGCGCAGGTCAGAGGGGCCGCCAGGGGCAGGCTGCCCCATCCTGCTTTCCCATCCTAATGTCGGGGGTCAGAGGGGCGGGGGAAGGCTGCCTCCCAGAAGGAGACAGTACCCAGTGGCATGTTAAAGGTTCCTACGAGGCCTGCAGAGGTTTAATTTTGCCAAGCCAGCATTGCTCGGACTGGAGTAGGAGCATTTTCTCAGCGTATTAACTGAGGAACTAGTGTTCTGTGGAAAGGGTTTTGAAAACTGCTGATCTGGACCGAACGTGGCTTACTTCCTCATCCACCAACTGGGGGGTGGTTGGCGACCCGGAGGACGGAGGCTGCCTGGAGGGGAGGCGCGCCATGGATGGCCTCTGGGGAGGCGAGGGGCGTGGCGCGGGGGCTCCGTGAGCCTGGCTGGGCAGGAGGCAGTGGAACTGGGGACTGAGGGTGGGGGGCTCAGCCCGGGCACCCCTGACCTCTGGGCTGGGTGCTCTCTGTGGCTGGTGAGGTCTGGTGCATTGCAGGACGTTGAACAGCACCCCTGGCTGCCACCCTCTTGGCCAGTGGCAGCACCTCTCCAGCTGTGACAACTGACATTGTCTACAGGGGCTGCCAAGGGTCCCCAGTTTAGAGCCACGGGTCCAGGGGGGGCCGGACAAGCTGATGTGGCACTTGCAGATCTCAAGAGAGAGTCCCGGTTTCTCTTTCAGTTCTCGTGGCTGATTCTGTGGCCTCTCCTGTCCCTGTTTGGTCCTGTTTCTAACAAATGCCCACTTAGGTTTCTGGAGCTTTGACCCACCTGGTCCAGGATGGAGACCCCCGGTGCCTCCAGGAGCTTCCTCTGCAGCAGGGGATGTGGGTGGATGGCATCCGGCTTCATGTAAGGGGTGTAGCCAGACAGCAGGTAGGACAGGCAGATGCCCGAAGGCCCGTTACCTGGGGAGAGAGGGCGGGGTCAGAGGACAGCACTTTGAGGTGCAGGAGACCACAGCTGCCTAGGGCTTTGTTCTTGACCTGACTCGGTCATTGAATTACTCTTCATTCATAAAAATAAAACATCTATTAAAAGCCCTTAGCACGTGCCAGGCTCTGTATATACTAACAATCACTAAAAAAGCAATGAACAATCGCTGAGAGCTTACGAGGTGCCAGGAGCTGTATTACTGAAACGACAACTTTGTGGTAGTAACCGCTGACATTTATTGAGTGCTTACTGTGTGCCAAGCTTTGTGTCAAGGGATGTTAATAATAAATTAATCATAAGCCGACAGCTCCGGCTGTCATGCTAGGCCCTTGAGTGCCCTGGTTGTCCCACTGAGCTTCCCCAGTAACTGCAGCAAGCACCTGCTCCTCTCTTCCTCCTTTTATACTGGAGGAAACTGGGGCACAGAGATGTTAATTAACTTGCTGGTGGTCCATACAGCTACTCAGAGAGTCTGAGCTAATTTAGAATGAGTCCTGTCCTTCCAGAGCTGACAGCCTGGTTGGTCAGATGGAGGAGCGAAATATGGTGGCACAGATTGCTGTGTGTTTGGGGGGGTGAATCTTGGGGCCTCGGGAGGGGTGCTCGGGAGGGGTGCTAAACCACCTGTGGGCGTCCTGCCCCCACGTCTGAATGAGTCACACAACTTATCTGTGTCATTTCTTGGGCAATTAACCTCATGACATTGCTTCTATTCTTATCATCTCTTCTTTCTTTATCTTGTGCCATTTAGAATATTACCCATTGTACAGCACTATAAAAGAATGAACCACATAAAACTGCTGATGTTCAACCGTTTGGACTTATAAAAATGAACCACATGTCATGTGGTTCGATCTGATGCTTGTGTGGAGGAGGGGCCATCTGTCCCCCATCTTGGCAGACCTGAGGGCAGGACCGAAAGCATCAGCTAGCCCATCCCTCAGGTACCCAGCAGGGTGCCAGGCACAGGGAGTGCACGGGGCCACCCAGACTGGTCCGGGCCTGCGCCTGGCTGCTCTTCCTTTGCTGGTTCTTGGAAGGGTTACATTAAACAATGTTGCATACACTGTAAGTGTAGCCCTGGGCACATAGTGAACACTCAGCGACCTATTTTAAAGACAAAAAGCCCAGGTTGGGTCTTGCCTGGCCCCTGATCTCTGACCCCAGGGGCACCCTGGAGAGCCCAATGCAGCTCTCCCCCGCCCAGGGCGTCACTCACCGATAATGACGACCTCCAGGGGCTCCGGGCTGCTGGTGCTGAGGTGGTCCTTCCTCCACTTGCTCATGGCTGCAGCTGGCGGAGGGCTTGGTGCTGGTAGCTGACCTGGAGGCACAGGGAAAGAAGGGCCACCGGGTGAGCCTTGGGTGTCATGCGGTCCCTTACCTCACACAGGATGTCCTCCTGTGTCCCTTGGGGTCAAGCCCAAGGTCCTCCCTGAGGCATATAAGGAGACCTGACCTCTCCCTTCTTGCTTCCTCACACCTGCTCCATTCCAGTCAGGCCCTCCCCCTCCTCCAGTCATTCAGGGTCCCCGGCCTGGTCACCTCTGTCTCTCTGAGCCTGGGTCATTCTCCCCATCTCACCAGTGGGGCGGGAGTAATACCCCAAGCCTATTAGTCACCTTCCATGGGGCCTCCACTGCCCAACCCAGAAGGCAAGGCCTGCTCAGCAGGGCTGTGCCAGCCATCGCGCCAGACCTCAGGTCTTGGGTGTAGTCTGGTGGACTTTGGAGCCATCGCCTGGCCCCACTGAGGTGTTTCCCAGTTGGTGACCGTGGGCCCATTTCTGGACATCCCTGGGTCTCTGTTTACTCATCTGTAAATGGGAATAATGTCCCTAACCCCGTAGGGCTGCTGGGGACAGTGAGGTCATATATGTGAAGCACCTGCCTGGAGCCACAGGGAAAGGTCTGAGTTCACTGCCTGCCCTGGGAGCTGGGCAGGAACACATGGACTTGGGGGGACTTTGGAAACCTGGAGTAACTAGATTTGGGGAGAATGCCTGTAAACCTGCTCATTTCTGGAGCACCTGCGCCCCCTGCTGGCCATAGGCCAAGATCACTTGAAGGGACCCAAACCCTGTTTTTAACCGAGTAGCTGCTGCTGGAGAGTCCAGACCCACATTCTCCACACCCCCAACCCCGCTAACAGGGCCCGGCCTTACCCACTGTACAGCAGCCCTGCCATCCTGAAGGCCACAAGGCAACGCCCACGTGATTGTGTGAGGAATGGGTGGGCACTCAGCGCTCACTATCTACTGGGTATCTAACATCCTTTCCTCAAGTCCTCCTCACACTGACTGGGTGCAGAGAGTACTGTTAATGCTACCGTCCCATTTGACAATGTATAAACTAGGGCTCAGGGAGGCCACACAAGCTCCTCCGTGTCATGCAGCAGGCTGTTAAGCGCAGAGCTAGCTGGTGCCAAGGCCTTGCCTGGGGCCATGCCACTCGGCAGGCAGGGCTCCTCACTTCGGCGGGGCCTAGGCCCCGGGACAGCCCCCCTCTCTTGTTGAGGTGAACCTGTGTCCTCCAGCATCTCTCTGAGGAAACAAAAGGTGGCATCCGCTGACATCGGGGTGCACAGTCTCGGGCCTGGCTCCCTGCAGGGGGAGGCCTGTGCTGTGTGCCTGAGGAGAGGATTTTGGGGTTCACCACCACCACTCACTACAACCAGCTAACATTTCTGTTCTTCTGTGGAGTTGGCTGGGTGCCAAGTATGTCCTAAACACTCCATGTACATTAGCTAATTTAATTTTATCTAACTGGGTTGTTATAGGTAGTCTTACAATCATTGACATGTTACAGATGGGGAAACTGAGGCCCAGCAAGCTTCCTATGGCCCCGTGCGGTGTGCGAGGAGTTTTGCCCTGGCTTGCACGGGCTGAGCTGGAGTGCGCCCAGGCCACTTTCTGGAGTGCAGTGTGACAGGCTGCGAGAGCTCCCTGCCAGAGGCCCTTCCCGCCCAGCTGAGTGCAGCACAAGCATCGGTCCCTCCAGCTCATCCACTCACCCTAGGCTGTGCCCCAGCGCTGGGGGCGGGGGTGGAGGGGTGGGGGGGTGTGCAGCCAGGGGGTGGAAATCCCAGCTGGGATACGACAGTTTCTCAGTAACCACCAGCGGCCCTTGTGAACAGGACTGCAGCTCCCAGAGCCCTTCTCCTCATTCTCCTGGTACCTTCAAACAGCCCGGGGCACCCATTCCTTGTCCTCACTGTCCCCAGGAGGAACAGCAAAGGGGACATGTGTGATGTCCTTGCTAAATGCCCCCTGAGCATTAGCTCCTTTAAACCTCACAGTAACCTACTTTACAGATGAGAACACTGAGGCTGGGGGAGGTGAGGCCATACCTCTGGAGCTAGCATTTGATCCCTGTGGGCTGGGACTACTGAGACATCCATGTCCCCCCAGGTAAGCATGCCAACTTGCTCCCTGACAGGTGAGGGATCAGAACTGGTGGCCTCTCGTTATGCTGCACAGGGGGCTTAGGGGCCCCGTTTACCACCAGGACTTTTGGACTCCAGGTCCAGTGCTCACTCCCAAAAGCTTCTGGATGTCATGCACATGAGGTTACCACCCAGAGCCAACTGGAAAAGGTCATTTCCTGTGCAATGATACGGCCGCCCGAAGCCCTGAGCAGCTGAGGGCCGTATAGCCTAAGAGGAGGGCCCACTGCCAAACTGCAACAGACACTTTGGAAGTTTTTGTTCCCACTTCTTTTACACTTAGTTTCACGGAGCCAAAGCAGTCCATTTTCAATGCTGTTTGTTTCAGCCCCTCTGGTTGAAGATGGAAAATGTCATCTAAGGAAAGTTAATATTAAAAACGGATTCAAATTCACAAAAGCAGATAAGCATAAGCAAAACGGAAATGATCGCTCTTTGAACGACGCTCCCTCTGCATGAGCCCAGTTGGTGCTTCTGAGGCCACTAAGCCTCAAACTGCTCTAAGTCTCTGGGATGCCTGCGCGGCTGCAGGGTTCAGGGCCTCCGGTGGCCCCTTGCTCATGGGCTTTCCTCACCAGAGGGAGGACCGGAGGTCAGGAGGGAGGAGGTGGCTTGCTGGTTGCCCATGACCGTGAGACCACGCCCACAAGCAAAAATCCTTCCCCTTGATACCTGTCAGTCCACCAAGAAAGTGACAGTGACATGAGGCTGTGGCAGGGGAGGATGAAGAGGCACTGTGCCAACCCAGCCTCCCGCACCGGGAGCCCTGCGAGCCCTGAGGTTTCCCGGACACCCTGATCTCCGCACCCTAGCCTTCCGTGAGAAGCCGAGTCCTTGGGACTCACGGCGCTGGCTGCTCAGGCATCGGGCGGGGGGCGGGGCGGAGTTTTGCCCCACTCGAACAGGAGAGGTGGGGGCCCCAAGGGAAGCACTTAGTCTGGCTTTGGAGCCCACTGGGCAGCGTGCCTGGGGTAGCCACACCTCCCTCTCTCCTGCCAAGAGCAGCGTCACGTGGCCAGGGTGTGTCCTGACAGCGGGCAGCGGGACAGCTGTCCGGCTGAGGTTGCCAGGCACCTGGAGACAGGCATGGCGCAGAGGGGGAACCTGGCGGGGGGGCGCGGAGAATCATGCCAGCCTGGGAAGCCAGGGCAGGCCTCCTCCCAGGACCACCTGGGGGTTTCCCTTGCCCAGTTCCAGGACTCTGCCTGCCTCCCCTACTCAGGACGTGCCACCGTTCCGCTCCCAATCTCCGTGCCTTGCCGAGGCCACTCACCTGACGAGCAGGGGATGAAGGAGACCAGGAAGCTTGGCCTGGTCAGACACTATGAGGGCCAGGAAGTCGGGGTGCCCGCTGAGGGAGGTCCACCATTACCCCTTGGGGATCTCAGAAGCTGTGAAAGGCCCCGGCAAGCGAGGGTATTTCAAGGGTTGGAAAGAGGCGGGCGGTGGGCGGGGCCAGGAAAATCACTTTCATAAGCATGAGTCAGCAGGGGCCCCTGGATGAATGAACTTGGCAGTCATCCTGCCTGCCCCAGGGCCAGCCTTAAAGGGGTCCACCCACGGGGTGGTCTGTGTGGCAGAGGCACTGGGGGTGACCAGGCTGGCCCTACCCTTGGGGCTCAGTCAGTGAATGGAGGAACCAGGACCCCCTGAACAAGCCGACCTGGACCTTTCCCTTAGGGAGGAGGAGACAGACCTACCCAATGTAGAGCAGCACCTTTACGTGGAGAGTCCCATTCCTTCACCCTACCTGGTTCCACTGGTGCCTGCGTCTGCTCCCCCTCCCACAACACGCCCTCTGGCACCGCGCTGTCCAAGCTGAGAACCCAGCTCTGACTCGTCCTGGGCAAGCTGCCTCAGTTTCTTCATCTGAAAAAGGGGGTCAAGTAACAGACTCTTCTGCTTGGGGTGGGAGTGACCTCACTCTTGGTTCCCTGGCCTGGACCTCGAAGCCTGCTCTCTGGTTCTTTTTCCTCCGGTTCTTTTCCTCGGCACGTAGCAGTGTACACTTCACATTTTGCTGATTCTTGCTTATTTTATTGTCTCTCTCCTCAAACCAGGATGTGGGTTCTGTGTGGGTAGGGAAGTGTAACTTTGTCTGTTTTATCCTGAGTCTCTGACAGTGCTCAGCATATAGCAGCCACTTGAGAAGGTGGGAAAGTGGGGAGGGAGGGAGGGAGAGAGGGAGGGAGTGAGTTGGGGCAGTGTTTGGTCCGTAGACCTCAGTGTGCACATTAGCAGTTATTTTCATTGTCCCCCATGTGTTGTCCTCTTATCTGGGAACTTTCTCACCAGCCCTGCCCAGTGGACAGGGGCCTGTGGGTGGCCAGTGAAGCACTCACTTTGCATGCAAAACTCAAGGAGGTGCCCAAAACACTGAGAGATCAAGAAAATATCTTAATGCAAATTTTAAAAAGTCACAATTAATGCAATACAACTGATGATAAACAAAGTATTAGAAGTCCAGATAAAGACAGGGTCTGGAGCAGGGCCGCGCTGAGCCACACGGAAGCCTGCGGCAAGCAATCAGAACACTGACGCTGTCTTTGTTTGCAGCTTCGCTATTCCACTCACCCTGCATTGGGCATTACTTTTGATTTTTAGAAATATTGCATGGGCACTATGTTTCTTGATTATGGGATGCCCCTTGCATTTTGTGCCAGAGGTGATATTTCTCTCCTTGTCCTGGTGCTGGTGGTGACAGGGGACCAGGTGTGACTGCAGGGTTCTTTCAGGGATGGGGGTAGGGCACCTCTGAGGATGCAGAGATCTGCTGGGACCTGGAGATGGGGGGAGGGGGAGGGAGAAAGACAGAGAGGGAGGGAGGGAGAGGAGCGGGGTGCCGGCCCAGGGAGGGGCGGCCGCTGGGCGTGAGCCCACGGCACACAGAGGGGTGCGGGCAGCACGAGCAGCTGGGGTGACAAGTGCAGTCCTGGGCTTGGCGAAGATGTCAGGCCCAGTTGGGCCCACGGCCAGGGGTCTCAGGGGCTGGGGAGATGAGTGGGGGGGCGGCTGGCACAGAGCCAGGCCTGCTTCAGACCACACCCTTCCGCCTGCCCTGTCCCCTGGGGCCCTCGGTATATATGCCTTGTGTCCAGGACCTCACTCTCAGAAGGACCCTGCACTTGGTTTAATGCACTGTTGTCATCACCTTAAAATCCTTAACAATTTTTGAACAAGCAGTCCCATATTGTTATTTTGCTCTGGGCCCCACACATCTCGTGATGGGTCCAGGCTGGGCAGCACCTGCCGTTATGTCAGGGTGCAGGATGTGAGGGTTGGTTTCTGGGCTACCCTACGGGGTGGGTGAGCTCAGGGAGGTACTGCCTTCTTGGAGCTTCATGTTATCCAGGGGAAAATGGCACTCATAGTCCTTTCCCCCGGGGCCCTTGGTAGCAGTGACCCCTGGGGACACATAGTGTGTGTGGGGGGGCAGTTAGAGGGAAGCCCCTTGCTCCAGCCTCAGCTCTGCTGAAGGTGTTCTGTGTGGCCTTGGGCCAGGGGTATACCTCTTTGGGCCTCTGTTCCAGCCATGGCCTTGTTGCCAACTGCCACTATTTGACACTCTGAACCCACACCCCACATGCAGACCAAGACCCAGTGGGGGTCTGACCACATGGGGAGCCCCGAGAGAGGGAAATGTCTAGCTTTGGTGACGTACCTCCGATGCAGGCTGCATCTTCCCCCAGCAGCCGCCTCTCCGGCTCCGCTTCCCCATCCCAGGATCTGGTCTGCAACTGCCCGGTGCTTTGGGTGTGGAAACTGAGGCAGAGAGAGACACCCCAGGGTCAGAGACTCCCACTGGAGGGGGGGTGAGGCTTGGGGAGGCCTGAAGATGGAGGTCCAGAGTGGGGAGCCCAGGATGGAGGGGCTCGGGCCTATGTTTCCTCCCTGACCTGCCCAGCCACCCACGCTGGCCCTGACCACTCTTCTGGATTTTGAAAATTTGCTGACACAGAGAACTGGGGGCAAGATGTGGACTTTCTCCCCTACCACCTGTGTACTGGCCAGGAGATTATCGGAAATAGAATGTGTTGAACTGCTTCCAGAAAGGTCAACCAAGACCAAGACAGATAATGTCACAGACAGACAAAGGGGTGGTGGCTGAAGAGGGGCCATGGAAAGGGGAGGAGCTGGGGGACTTGTGCTCCTGGACCCCACTGGGCACCCCAGTTCCTCCAGCCCTGCTCTGTCCCCTTCTCCACCATGAGTTCAAGTGACTGTGAAACCCCTGAAATGTGAGCCTCTGAATTCAGATGTAATGAAAGTAGGGTGGCAGATACAGCAAATAAAAATACAGGGGCCCAGGTAACACAGAACTTCAGAAAAAAAAGAAATAAACTTTTAGCATGAATATATCTCATGCAGTATTTGGGATATACTTATACTATTTTTTTCATAATTGATTGGAAATTAAAAGTTACCTGGGCAGCCTGCATTTTATTTGGCAAATTTAGCTGTAAGTGCTAAACACACACTAGATTTCAAAGAAGTAGTGCAACAAAAAAGGGAAGAAGGTACAAATGTCTCACTAGTAATTTTTACATGGATTACATGTTGAAGTGAAAATATTTTGGACATCTGGGCTTAAATAAGATATACTATTAAATTTTGATGTCACCCAATTTTTAAAATTTGTTTAACATGGCTCCTGGGACGTTTAGTTATGCATCCCCTCTCACTAGGTTTCCCCTGGTGCTGGCACCTGCCTCCGGCTGCTTACACCAACCGGGGCTGGCACTGAAAGGCTCCCTGGGGTCCCAGAACCCACTCAGTCCTGGAGAATCCCCTGGGAGCACTGCAAGGGGCTGGACAGTGTAATGCTTCCCTTGTGAGCCTCAGTTTCCCCATCTGTGCACTGGTATCGCCAATGTGGAGCTTGCAAGGTGTGGCTGAGGGAAGGGACCTGGCAGATTCAGCAGTCTGCCCTGCTCAGTAATGGTGCCTCCCCCTGCACTCTCCAGGCTTCCCCCTGCCCTCCTGCAACCAGCTGGGGAGCCAGGGGAAGGGAAGGTAGAGTGGCCTCAGGGAGCTTCTCTGGGGCTCCTGGTACTGAAATGGCTCTCCCCTGCCCCTGTGTGGAAATAGCCATTCCTCACTCCCTAAGAAATCCTAGAAGCACTCCAGGCCACTCCTCCGGCCTGTCCTCCTCATCTCTTCTCCCTTTGGTGGCTCCCGCAGTTCTGTCATTTGCTGGGCACCTCCAGGAGCTGAGCACTGTGCACAGAAGTTTTATACACAGATGAGGCCCAGAAGCCAGTCTTGAGCCTGAGGTCACACAGCACAAGCAGCAGATCTGGGGCTCAAATCCAGGGCTGCTACTGCAGAGTCTGGGGACCTTCAAGAAAAAGGAAGACAAGGGACTAACTAAGGAACAACGCTCCACTTGTCTCAGGTGCAGTGTCAGGCCCAGGAACTCTCCTGAGGCACCTGCCTATCCCCACAGCCACCCTTTACGAGGTATCCACACTGTAAGGCATTTCAGGGATCCCTGCATTTGATCCATACACCAGTCCAGTAAGGAACATGCAGGGTTATTATTCTCTCATTCTACAAGTGAGGAAACTGAGGCCTGAGAGTGTGAGATGTGGCTTCAGGTCATGGCGTGTGGCTAAGCTGGGTCTGTGACCAGACTCTGCTCAGTGCCCTGGCATGACAAGACCAGACCCTTCCAGTATACGACAGGAGGACTAATATTTGCCCTGTGCCTCATTGTTTACAGTCTTGCTATTTCACTTGACTTCACCGATCTTACCAACAACCAGAGAGGTGGGCAAATATTTTCAGTAACAAGTTTAGTTTGCAGATGAAGAAACCCAGAGCACCTTGCCCAAGGCCACACAGCCATGAACTGAGGGAGGAGACTTGGACTACAGTTCGCCTGTGCTGAGCCCACACATGCCGCTCCAGGATGATGGCATGTGGCCAGGCTCAGTCCAAGTTCATGACTGCGGAGTTACTGTAGACCCCTGGGGAGACAGTGTCAATGCTGGGAAAGGCCTGTGCCCTGGTCCCCCACGGAGAGAGAAGGAAGGCCAGGAGTTAAACAGGGGGTGTGGGATAGGCCCTGAGAGGGCCATCCGCATGGGGGTAAGTTTGAAGGTGTTCCAGCCACATTGTCTGTTTCTGGATTCCAATTTTTCCTTAAAACCACGGGGAAAGTTTCTCCTGAGCGTGAATGTGCCTGTCCGACAGTCAGGGTGAACAGAGAGTCCTGCCTGGGGTGTGTGAAAGCCTGTCACTTTAACATTAGACAAAGCAAGATTCTGCTCCATCACCTTCAGCTGTGTGACTCTGGGCAAGTGACCTAACTTCTCTGAGCTTCCAGGATTTTCTTCTATGTGAGGTGTGGATAATGGTAGAGCAGTGCTTCTCTTCCCTGCTGCATAGCAGAATTTGGGGAAGT